CTGTCTCGACTTTATCGTCTGCTGTTAGCTCTAGTGTGAGGGCTTCATCTGCGTCTGTTGCGCCGTCCAGCGTGTCCTCACCAGTCCGCTCTTTAACTCCGAGCTCGAGAGCTGTCATTCCACCATCTGCATCGTCGCGTCCTAGCTCGTCCACGGCGCCTGTCATTCCCTCGTCCTCGTCGGTCGCATCCTCCCTCGCTCGCAGCTCATCCATTCCACCCAATGCTTCTTCAAGCACTCCCATTATAAGGCCCAACAGCTCACTTGGCGGGATACCGATGCCGTCAAGCTCAGCGCTCAGCTCTGGCCGGCCCACCCGCCGAACCACGACCATCTCAGTCACCGAAACGATCACCTCCAGTACCACGATATGCTCTGCAGGCACAACACGAACTTCCCTTCCCATTGGAACGGCAGCATCCAGCACCGGACAGACTACGACATCCAGCGAGGTTGCAATGACCACCTCGACGGTACTGACGACCCGGACGGCGACCATCACCGCATGCCCTAGCTCGGTGACCAACTGTCCCGCCAGATCGCGTACTACATTCCTCACGACAGAGACTATCGTGCTGTCGACGACAGTGTGCCCAGTTACTGAGACCAGTCTTACCCAGCCTATCGCTACCAATGCGGCGAGCGCAGCTCACGGCGAAAGTCCTCAGGAGGAGGGCTTCACCACGTCGACGATCTTCAGCACGCGAACAGCTACCATCACCGCATGCCCTAGCTCCGTGACCAACTGCCCCGCCAGATCGCGTACTACGTTCCTAACAACAGAGACTATCGTGCTGTCAACCACAGTGTGCCCTGTGACTGGAACTAGCATCACCCAGCCCACTGGAGTCAACGCAGGAGCGAGCGCAGCTCACAGTGACACCTCCGCTGAAGGGCAGGGGTTCACCACGTCGACCATCTTCAGCACGCGAACAACCACCGTAACCGCCTGCCCCGGCTCAGTGACCGATTGCCCCGCTCGCTCCAAGACGACCTTCCTTACCACCGAGACGATCGTTGCATCCACGACAATCCGTCCCGTGACACGCACCGACGAAGCCACCATCCCCACTGCTTCCGGTTCCGGCCAGACATCCACCACTGTCACCCCCAACAACCACAGCACGGGTGGCTCTACCCAGCTCGACGAAGAGTACACCACCTCGACGATCTTCAGCACCCGCACCGCGACCATCACCGCGTGTCCCGGCGCTGCCACAAACTGTCCAGCCCGCGCCAGGACCACGTACCTGACCACCGAGACCCTCGTGGTTTCTACTACTATCTGTCCCATCGCCGAGGCGTCGAGGACTGGCTCAGCCGGGCCAACTCTCAGCTCCGCCGGCCAATTCACCGACTCGAACGCCCTAGACTCCACCGACACGGCTGTGAAACTTGGCCAGGGGGCTGCCACAGCTCCGGCATCCACGACGCTCAGCACGCGCATCGCCACTATCACCTCCTGTCCTTCGGGGCCAGTGTGCGATGCCACCGCACGGACCACATCCTACACCACCGAGACACTCGTGATGCCCGTGCATGCCACATCTACCGGTGTGGATACTGGTACTAGCTCAGGGCCGGAGGGTGTCGCTGCGATCCACGTTCACGGAGAAACCACAACTCTCCCCGCTACCACGAGTGCGGGATACGCGGCAGGCAACGCAGCGACGGTGGAAGGGTGCTCGGCCGGCCAGCTGGGGTGTGCTGCTACGAGCACAGCAACGAAGACATACACGCTCGTTGCCGTCGGCACTGCGGTCCCGGTCCCTGCTGCGCCTGACGCTGAGACAGCTGCTCAATCCGTGCATGGAATGGTCGGCAATTACACGGACGCCGCAATCGCAATGCAGACCGCGTCTCGTCCACCGGCGGGCGGCAACTCCAGCGCCGTCCATGCGGCCTCGTCACCTTCGACGGCTACGTTGGCTGCTACGGTGTCCACGGGCACCGGATCCAGCACTAGCAGCTCTGCATCCAGTGCTGTAAACGCGCTGTTTACTGGTGGTGCCGTGGCACACGCTCCTTCTTTCATTCTCGGAGCAGTGGCCGTAATTTTCGCTGCTTTGATTTTGTAATCAGACCAGTTGCCTACGCATCAAGTTGATCTCATTTTTATTTTGTTTATTCCAACCATGCTGCAAGTTCTCTAGTTGAGTAGGATATGTTCTCACAGCTTGCTGCTTCGCGGCTGCAGCGCCTCATCTTTCGCGAATTTATAATAGTACTCCAGACTCTGAGGGTTGAGTAAGGTCCCGGAGGGCTTGATGATTCTCCCCGAGACGATCTGCTTGACGGGAAGCTCGACCTTTTTGCCATTGACCGTTGTCTACACCATTCCATTAGTAAGTGCCAAGAAGTGTCGACAGGGAGAGGCGTACCGGAATCTCAGGAGTCGGAAATACAAACGCTGGCACATGGCGGGGACTCAACTTGCGACGAATCGTCGTCTTGATCCGCTGCACCAGATCCTGGCTGAACGATACTTTGGGCCTCAAAAGGAGGAACAGGATCACTCTCTCATCCGTATCGGACGGCCGCCGTTGACCCACACAGATAGAATCAACCACCTCGGCCGCAAACTCGTCTTCGATGACTTGGTATATCTCCGCCGATCCGAAGCGGACGCCGGACGGGTTCAGGACCCCGTCTGCGCGACCGTGGAAGAGCAGCTGTTGTGTCACGGGGTGGATGGACACGAAATCTCCGTGTGTCCAGACGCCTTTCCATGATGTCAGCTCACAGACCTCAAATGTCACTTGGGGCATACCTTTGAACCGGTTGAAGTACGCATTGTGGAACTTCTCGGCTCCCCCCGCCCCCCAGAACCCCACAGGGACATTCGGGAACGCGGCAGTCGCGACCAGATCCCCGGGTGTACCGTGGGGCACTGAGAAACCTTCCACACCGTCGCCTTCGATCGACGAGTCGTAGACCTCCACCGGCACGCCCAGGCTCATGCCGGCACAACCGCCAGAGTAGATTGGCAGCAAGGGGTTTGAAATCCCGAAGCATCCCGCAATGTCGGTGCCACCGGAAATGTTGTTGAGTCGCACATGACGCGGAAACCCTGTGTCGTAGAACCACTCGAACAGGCTCTCAGGAAGGACCATGCCGGTGCTGGTGACGACCTTCAGGGATGAAATGTCGGCTAGGTCTCGGGGCTGGATGTGGGCTCGTTGCAGTTCGAGGAGGTATCGCGGGGAGATTCCCAAGTGTGTCAATCTATGCACTGGTCAGTACCTGACATTTGATGGATGAACACGGTCGGAACTAGGTGTCTTGCCGCTCCTGTGCCGCCAATTTGATCAAAGATGCCACCTCCGGCAGGAAAGGGCTTCCGTCGTAGAGCACAGCCCGCGCCCCGACGAGCAGACTGTTAATCACTGAGAGATACATGATCCACCCGGTGGTGGTATACTGCAGATTCACACTGTCCGAGTTCATCTCACTGTGCAGGAACAGCTCCTTGAACGCGTTAAGCATGACCCCACCGACGGAGTGCATGATGCATTTGGGCTGGCCCGTGGTGCCGGACGAGTACACGATGAGGAAGGGGTCTCGGAAGTCGACCTGCTCGAAAACGAGGGTGTCGCCGATCGCAAGAGCCCCCCACACCTTCAACGAGAGTGTCCGCGGCAGGTGACCGACCGGTGCCGGTTGCGCAGCAAACCTGGGCTGTGCCACGATGCCTCTGAACTCGGCGATACCGTCCATTCCGGCGATGATGTCCCGCATCTTCGGTCGGAGATCGATGACCTTGCCGTTGTAGAATGCCTGGTCGTCCATGAACAGCCAGCGGGGCCTGATCTGTCGCAGCCGGTCGAGAATCCCCTTGACGCCCATATCTGTGGAGCTCGACGAAAAGATCCCACCCAGCGCCGTGGTAGCCAGAAAGACGAGCAGCGTGTCGATGCTGTTGCCGGCACAGACCGCGATGCGGTCGCCCTTTTGGATTCCGTGCGCCTTCATCGCCTGCACTAAGCGGCCGGTGCGTCTGCGCAGCTCCCCCCACGTCAGATGTCTGGCCTCCTTGTGGCCCCCCTCGCGCACCTCGGTGACGGCGACCTTATCATCCTCCTTCCCGACCGTGCTTGCTTGTGTCCCGTGTCCGGAAAAGAGGATGTTTTCGGCGTAGTTGAGTTGGATGCCGTCGAACCATTGTGGGACTGCATCGATGAGAGCGGTCTCGTCGACGACGGAGGTGTAGGTGCCTTGGTGCAGGACGTTGAAGTATCGCCAGCAGAAGTCCCAGAATGTAGCGCGTTTCGTCACGGAGTGGTGGTAGAGATCGTGGAAGGTCTAGCAGAATTAGCAGGTCGAGCTTTGTGGAGCTGAGAAACGAACCCACTGGGATTGACACGCCCAGCTCCTGCTCCCAGGCTCGGCGGAAGTGAGCCATGCTGGATGATTCGGGGTTGGGATGCTCCCAGAGCTTGCGGGGAATGGACGGGGAGGCCATGGCGAGTTGATTCGTGACGATTTTACCCGAATCTCGATAAGGGGAGACTGATGGGGGGATGAAGATGAAGATGAAGATGACGGAGGAAGGAGTGGTGGAAGTGAAAGAGGTAATGGACCCCTTGCATGGTAGGCCCTGTGTTTCCCTTTCCCTTCCTCTCCGCCTTTCTCCGCCTTTCTCCTCCCCGCATGTCTCCCCGCACTCGCACGAGAGGAGATGCCGAGGTTGTTCCCAGCAGAAAGACCGACTCGCTTGGCTCTACGGAGCTGTTTATCGATACTTTAGGTGCCAGGTTCTTCGAATCCAAACTACGAGCTTCGTTTAGTAGGTACTGAGCTATCTTACAGCTCAAGCTCGGCGGGTCAAAGTTGCCCTCCGTGTTCATATATATCATTCGGGCCGATTCCACGAGTAATCAGCCAGAATTCGTATACCAGGCCACAACAAATAAAGCAAAAGAGCTAAAGGCAAAAGACTCCGACATTTGAGCATCAATCTCAGATCCACACCAGTGTCTCGTAGCCAAGGCAAACCATACTCATCGACTTGATTGACTTGCGTCGAGCAGACCTCGAAAGAGACCATTCCCCTCCTGCAGCTCCCGAGGCTGGCCCATCTCCAACACTCGACCATCCCCCATCACCACCACCGTATCGAAATCCAGTAACCTTTCAATCTGGTGCATAACGGCAATTACCGTCCGCTCCTTGAACTCCTCCAAAATGACTCGTTGGATCAAATCCGCCGTCTCAGCTGTGAGGCTGCTGGCCGGCTCGTCCAACACCACTACCGATCCAGACCGCAGGAGGGCTCGCGCACAAGTAAAAAGCTGACTCTGTCCGGCAGACATTGTCTCATTGTCCAGGATAGCCGAGAGACCTCCTCGTTCCGAGACCAAACCCCAAAGATTGACTTTCTGCAGGGCTGCGATGAGTTGAGAATCCTCCGATGGGTTGACACACCCCAGCTGCAGATTATCCCGAACGGAAATTCCCGGCATAATGTAACTGTGCTGGGATATACCAATCAGATGCGAGCGGACCGATTCGGGATCGAGCTCTGCGATGTCAACACCGTCGATGACGATACACCCAGAGGTGAGGTCGATCATCTGAAACAGTGCAGAGATCAGAGTGCTCTTTCCGCTGCCCGTTCGACCGCAGACCCCTACTTTAGAGCCGGCGGGGATGGACAAACAAATGTTCTTGAGCACGTCGGGACCACCATCTTGGTATCGAGCAGTCACATTTTTGTATTCAATTGAGCCATGCGGGGGCCACAGACCTCCAATCGCCTGGACAGAAAAGTTGCTTTGCTGCTCAAGGAGACGATCGGTTCTGGCTTGGACCGTGAATTCTTCCAAACGTGTGATGGATCCGAGTGAAATCTCCATCACCGCCCATTGAAGGATCAGCAGTTGCAGGGTCTCATTCAGGGAGATGACATTGACCAGTGCGAGTCCGACCAGCGTCGACCGAGTTTGCAGTCTGATGGACAGTCCGACCACAAGAATCGCGACTCCCGCAGCTACCATGTCGAGCACGAGGTTAAGCCATCTTTGGACCATGAAACGCTGGTAGTAGGGTCTTTGTGATGCGTTAAGAAGCGCGTCGTGCCTTTTGCGGATGTGGTGCTGCCAGCCAAATGCACGAACTGTATGGAGGCCATTTATGGTCTCGAGAAAGTGATCGCTGGATATTGAAAAGCACGAATGTCAGAAGCGGTTGAAGTGCTGGGCAAGCTGTAGTTGCGAACGTACAGCAGCGGGCTTTTCGCCTCAATGTCCATCGCGCGTACTTGCTTCGATGTGTGCAGGTAAAACCTCTGAATGGCGAGCACAACGGCGAAGAGAACTGGGAATGCGATGAAGATGTAGGGAAAGGAGCTGTGACGGGTATTAATAACAAAACAGATAACGCAGCGACATCCCGCACCTTGCGATGATAATGACCTGTGCCAATGTCGCGAGAGCACCTGATGGAAAGGTTAGAGCTCAAATCATCGCGGGTAGAGACGACATGATTACCTTCCGAGGCATTCAGAAACGTGACTGGTAGGTTCCAGTCGATTAATTGCAAGTCTTGGCTGAATCTGCTCCGTGTCAGTTTCAGCCAAAACAAGCCCACTGGAATGAAAAGAATAGCTCACTTGTTGATGATTGACCCTGTGTCAATCTTGCTGAAAGCCGGCATTGGCATTCTGAAAACATCAGTACCATTGACCATGTTCCGAGTCTCAAGACTCACCCCATAGCAGCTGTCAAGAGACGACTGTGGAAATAGCGGCTGGTTTGTGGCATGACAATGCGCAGTTGCTGGCTAGCTCCAATGTCAGTCTTGAGCGTACCCGACGCAATATATGCATGCTTACAAGGCGGCAAGAAGGGTGAATATCATGGATGTAGCATGAAAGAGACTGTAGACTCCGATGTACTTCGCGTATGAAGACCCCATGCTCGAAGGGTCTTTATCCAACCACCACTGAAGCCAGACAGCTGGATATATCTGTCAGCCCCTGTGTTTCTGATTTATTGAGGTCTGGCATACTGGGAAACTTGGAAAAAAACGTCTGGAGAATCAGAAGAGCACATAATACCATGCCTCGCCAGAAACCCATGGAGCGGAAATAGGAACGATAAACTGGAACATTGCGATGTTCAGAACTATGCTCCCCTAGTTCGGTCTGTTGGACTTTCCTATCGGAAGATGTATTCGAGACTGACAAAGCTTCTTGGTGTGAGATGTAGACATCGTCGTCTTTCTTGTTGTTGCCCTTGGATGGAATGGTGAAGTGTGATGCCAGTTCTTCCGGCGAGCCCTGGGCCCGGATTCTGCCATTCGTGTCAAGAAGAATAATCCGATCGGCGTACGGTAACAACCATTCTAAAGCAGCAAGGCGTCAACCATTGAATCAGAGTCTATCAGGCTTTCACTGACCTCCGTTGGAAGCAGCAACCACAGTCTGTCCGTTCTCTCGCATCATGCCTTTGGGTCCGAGAAGGCGCCGCGCAACCTTCCCCTCCGTGCGGGGATCAAGCGCACTGAAACTATAGTCGAGAAGAAAAAGCTCTTTTCGCGCATATACCGCTCTGGCCATCGCCTGTTAGAAATATTGTCAGAGCATACACTTCCGTGACAAGGGCAATTGTTTACAATGCGTTGTTTCTGTCCCCCACTCAGCGTGACGCCGCTACTTCCGACCTTGGTGTGATCCCCTTCAATGATCTCGCGAAGATCGTGATCCAACTCGCAAGCCCACAGTGCTTTCCTGTAGAGCTCAATGTCAAGGTCTTGATCGGGCCCAACGATGTTTTCTCGGATAGAACTGTTCAGAAGCCAAGGTGATTGGTGGCAATACGCAGGATTTCGGACATTCTTTTCCACGCTGCCTCTGAGTAGATCCATTTCTCCCAGCATAGCCCGGAGCAGTGCAGACTTTCCACTGCCGACAGGTCCTGAGATTTGTGTGAGCTGCGACCGTGGAATGTTGACCGTAATGTTTTGAAGCACGGCAGAAGATGATCCAGGGTAAGAGAAGCTTGCATTATGGATGGTTAAGGCAAATCGAGATCGGTCCCCCGGTTCCTGATCTGATGAAGGACAGGTCTAGTTCAACGCCAATGCATTCCCCTGGAACATTGTAGAGATCGCTCAAGCAAAGGACCTTCTTGAAGCCCCTCCAAAGGAGAGAGTTTGTCCACAGAAACAGGCCATTGCTAAACAGTCCTTTCGTTTCCTCGGGCGATCGTGCAGCATCTTGTGGGTCGAGGAAGTGCTCAGTCTTTGCCCTTGATTCAACGAAAAGAATGGCCCCTTTAATAGCTAGACTGAGTGAAGTGATCACTTGGAAAGGCAACCAGCCATGATGAAGCAGCCAGATAGTTCTCACGCGAGCGGCATCGAGCAATGTCGACAACAGAAGATAAGAAAGCAGTATGCCGGATGGGGAGATCGCCCTTTCATGTTCCAAGTACGAGAGTAGAGCGACAAAGATGGAGTCTGCCACTGCTAAAGCCAATGCTGCAATTCCCCACGGCTGATGATCCGGGTGCTGCGGTCGGGCGTAAATGACAAGAAGTGACAACTGGAGCAAACCAAAGACGCCTGCCAGAGACTGCGACCGGATAAGTCAGATATCTCTAGTAGAGTTGCATACTACCTGGGATACCAACCAGCTTCAGCCTTTGGGAAGGTCGCGCCCCAACCTTGGGTTTTCCTTGTAAAGAAGAGCAATTCGAAAGGTTGCGGAACCAATGAAGAGCACTGATGGGAGAACTGACAAAATACTTTCTTCAAATGTGACCGTAAAGTCGAAACCTCAGCAGCGCACGGAGACCTGCGGACCCAGCTGGCGATCTGCCAGAGCGCAGGAGGCAGTTTGATTGATCGAGTTCATATGGCGTGCGTACCGTACGGGGAGGGGGAGAAAACAGCGGGAAGGATAAGGGGCAACAAAGGCGCAGGAACAGATGGGCGGGGAACGTCAGGGGATTTTAATGCAGCTGCAACCAATGTGCTGCTGATAAGCAGCTGCGTGATTGTTATCTTGACCCTGGAAGCTCCCGGTTCTAGGCCAGCCACTGCATGCTTACTCGCAGGGACCTCAGTCATGTGATGAAATACGGAATTAATTGATCAAGATACCCATATAATCCCCGATGACTGATACTCTGCCGGACGAAATAAAATGCACGACTGATCTACGAATCGATAGTTGCTTGCAATTTCTCATCGTCTGTTGGGGATGTTAATCGTGGGGACTCTGCCTCCATTCCTCTGTCTTCTACTGCCTCTTCGGGCGTGTCATACAGGTGGGTTCCCGTCAGCATAGACATTTGTTGGTGTCTCTCCTGCAACTAGACATGGCTGGTCCTATCAGGGAGATTGGCTAAACTTAGCATTATCGAAGAGGATGATGGAACATGACGAATCCCCATACGTTCACTATCCTTGTCCAGAACCCCGTGGACCGGTGGAACGAGAACCGAAGTTTGCGTTACATTGCTATCGAGACGCAAGTCGGAGATATCAGATGCCGTCCAACCAGGGTATACATGGCGATTGCATCGTTATGATTTCTGGAGAACTGGATGTCGCGTCATCCAGCCACTCTATGCATGATCAAGGCTGCATAATGAGGTTGCATCTGCTCTACGCCTCTGACGAGCTTCAGTTTGGAATTCCCGCCGGGCTGGGTGTAAAGCCAAACTAGCTAATGTCTCACCGTCGCGATCGAGGATTATGTCTATTTTGCCTTAACGACTTGCCCAGGTAATGGTGCTAAGCTGTTTTTCTTAGCCTGATACCAAGACAACGAAGCATTGATAACATGTGCTCCCCCATATTCTTCCGTCCGCCTCGCTTATCGAGCCATCAATGCTTATCACTGCCTGAATCGGGTAAGATCATCACAATTTCCTCGACGGCCAATTTACTCGAGGCTCCGCTGGGCACTGGGACTTTATCGCATTTTCCAAACCTTCGCTTCCTCTCGGTGACAGGCTTTATCACAATAATTTCATGAGAAACAACTCGACCCTCAGCAAAACTGCCTCCACTCCTAATATACGCCAGGCCGAAATTATGCGATTGCTCCAACGCTTCTCCTCCAGAGAGGTTCGGTTTGAAAAGCTCTCTTCTGAGGAGGACCCTCTAAACAATAACGATGACCAAGTGACATACGCAAGCCGCAACCGGCACCACTTTTGGTTGTCACCATGGTACTTGCATCTGGCTCTGTTGACTTTCAATGCCTTCTTGTATCTCTGTATCGTCATGAAAGGACCATCCGACAACTATGTGCCCTGTCAGTATAGCTTCTCGAAATTCCAAAAGAAATCGTGTCTCATCATCTTTGTGACCAGCCCCAGCAAGCGAGGCTATCGCTTATGAGGAAGTATACTTCAACGCATCTTTGAAGATTGAGAGTCCATTTACAGGCGAGCCTCGCCCCGAGCTTGACCAAGCCTGGACCGACCTACTCCAGTGTAAGTCGTTGTGGCCGCCACAGACCAAGCCATCCTCACACGCGATTAGATTCCAGCATCGCAGTATCTGGTGACGACCTCAAAAGAATCAACAAGACCTTGATTCCGATCCCCGGGGCCAAGGACTTGTAGAGATCTCGTTCAGCAATCCCTCATTCGAGTGGAACCAGCCTTGGTACGCTTGGAGATCTTGATCCGGAGCAGCTGTGAATGTGATGTGGAGGGAGTTGAGAGGGACCGTCGCGCTCGTGTTGCTCACGACCGTCAGATACCGGAAACCACCTCGAACGTATTTGCTGTCGGGGGTATGTGTTCCCGCCTTTTGACCAACCGGGAACCACAAAGGTGCATCAAATCCAGAATTTCCAGTAGCATCACACGCCTCACTGCTCGCCCACAGGCTTGATTCAGAGAAGGTGACCCCCAGGAAGGCAGATGGAGAGGAAGAAGATCCAACCGTGAGGGAAACGACGTCTGCAACGTTCTTTCCAAAGTCGTAGGTCACCGATGAAACGCCATGGAAGACGGCGGTGCCCAATGAGGATCCAGTCAGGCCATTCGCATTAGTGACAGACCCGTTGACCTGACGAACTGAGGCAGGAACAATCACTCGAGAGGACGGGGCTAGAATTTACTCCCGGTATGGGACCCGGGCTGCGGCCACTAACACTGCTGGTATCAGCAAAGGAGTGATAATGTGCATGATGAACTATGGGTGGAAAGCCGTGTGAATTTGCTGTGTCCTTCCCAGTCGAGGCAGTGCTATTTTTAATCGGTAGCAGAGGCCTGATGACTGAGTTTTATACTCGTGCATTCAGGATACAACTTCATGGGCCTCGGGATGTTGTATCCCGAGCAAATACTTCTATACTCCTCTCGCAGATGGCCAACTCTATGATCAATACTAGGGCGGATGATATTACCCCGGATCTTCCTGGATATGCGTGCGGGGTATCCGCAGGGTCTGGTCGGGAGCGCCCCCATCTCCACATCCCGTAATTAATGCAAGACATGTAGCTCGGTGTGGTCCGAGAATACCTCAGTGCAGCCGGAAACTCGGCCGTAAAGGAACTCATAGAAGGGGGGGAAGCTGATAGTGGGTGAGCGGGAATTATAGATATTCCTTACATAGGCAAATATGGTGGTAATGCCGAAATCCGGAATTTGGGTTGGTCCTTTTTTATCTCCGTAGAAGCTCTTGTTAAGACTTGATACTATCTTGACACGAAGTGTGTACTGAAGGTAGAGTTCAAAGGAATGTCAGTAGATCTTGTGAGTCTAGTATCTGTTGAATTACAAGGCTCATGCTATATATATATTCTAGTTGGAATAGTTTTTAGTATTTATTAAATAATTAACTAGTTATAATATAAAGCCGTAGCAGTTACAGATCTGATTTTTTTTTACTTAGTCAACTTTGGCTAACTAGTCTTAAATATTACTACTGGCCACCGGAGGCCTCGGTCGATTCCATTCAACAGTATCTGCACTTCCTAAGCAAGACAAGCCGCGAAACAGACTGGCGATGGTTTGGGTGAAAGCTTGTAGTAGTTGTGCCAAGCATTGCATATGTACGGGAACGGATCATATCACCGATAGATGGGGACGCAGTTGGTTGCATAAAAAAGTGTCAAGCCACCTAGTGATCCAGCCCTTACAAGAACATCACCCCTCCGAGTGTTCTTCCAAAGAAGCTGTCGATTGATTTTCCTGTAATTATCTTGCTGTTGCCTCGGCTCGCTAACCTAGCTTCTGTCACTCGTTCTTTCTCCCAGTGATCAAAGCTAATGATATCAAGACTACACCACAAGCACTACAGCTTAACCACAACATGGCTTGTGCAGCATGATCTTGAAGATCCGTTCTATCAACCACCCACTCGATGGAAGAGCATTTTTCAAATCATACCTCTCTCCTCAAGACTCTTTACGCCTCCCTGCGATCCAAGACAAGACAGACCCTTTAAAACTAGAAGCCCTTTCATCGGCGTGGCACAGGACGTCGGCGACGGCCCTGGCCACCCCTCGCCCGTTGCGCGGGTCGACGGCCCAGGTTACGCCTCGGGGACCGCCACCGCACAAGCAAGCATCGGTAGGCCAGGTCACACATGAAAATCGCTAGATCAATGTAGGCTAGCTCGATGAGGATCATGGCGATGAGGGTCCGCCGCTGCGCGAGCGCAACCCAGTGGTTCCGGATTCCCTTGACGTGGCCTGTGTTGAGCAACCAATCCACTATTTCAGCTTCCGTCCATGCCACATCGCGTGCCAAAGCGGTCCTTTTCACAAGGGCCTGGATTTGCCGGTGGTCGTAGGCGAGGCGGTAAATGTACATCGGGTGTACGATCGTGAATTTGGCCATAAGAATGAAGAGGGGAATTGCGACGTACATCGTGAGGGTGGGATGGCGGGCAGAAGATGAACGGATGTGGGGGACAAGATTGTGGCTGTTCAGATGCACGCCGATAACAAACAAAAACACGAGAATTGCCTCGGTTATGAAGTCCGCCATGGTTGTGAGGATCGGAGGGAGTTGCGGGGTTGTAACTAGCAGGATATGTGATGTCGGTCTGATAAAAGGGTTTCTGGGCCTTGTCGCTGGTTGACCGAGCGTAAGTCTATGTTCGAGAAGTGGCATGTTAAAGAAGAGATTAGGCTGTTATTTATGCATGGTCTGTAGGAAGACAACTCCTGGAATCAGCTGGCATTGGAGAGGCGTAATAAAGAGCCCGAGTAGTGGGAGGACATTCACCGGTATTTCGTTCGCTTCTCAAAGAACCTCTTTACTTTACAGTCCCCTACCATTGCAACTTTGAGGCATGCGGTACGGAGACCATCGTGTATGATGTTTGCTGAGAAGGCAGTGGACTAAAGACTGATACTGAGGTCTTGTATGCTAGTCATGTGTGCAGTCACAATCTAGTTCATCTTTACAAGATCAAGAGTGCTCACCATCGAACGCATCCTTCAGGCCCTTTCTGGAGAGGCTGGTTACTCTTCACAGCTGTTTCCAGGTCATCGGAAGTAGTTTGTATGCGTCAAAACCTATTGATTGCAGGAGGTAAACCAAATATCTAGTCCGGAAGTCAAACAATCCACGCGAAAACAACTCTCGTTTACTTTCTAACCCTCAATTCTCTCCTTGCGTAACTGTGTAGCTGAGCCTTCTCTATGGTAGATCCTGTCTTGCCATGTCGTGTGGGAACAGCTACTGCCCTTCGCGGCTTAGCGAAAGAACCCCTCGCGGGCCAGGAACCAGATGAACATGGCGATGTACGTCCAGCCGAACCAGATGAGTGCCAGCTCGAACCGATTCCCACGACTCTGTAGCCAGACCATCATGTCGACATCGGAGATGCAGCCGCGACGGAACATCTCGTGCAGGCCCTGTAGCGCACTGGATTGAGCAGTTGGGGTTTGTCGCTCGCCGATCCCACCTTCCGCAGCGAGGTAGTCATCAGACTGCCATTCCAGCATGTATATCATGTAGCCGTACACGATGTGTTTGATCAGGAAGGTGGAAAGCACCGACAGGCAAACGCCAGACCAGACGCGATTGTGGAAGACGTGGCGGCGGAGCCAATGCTCTGTCGCGCCTCTGGTAAAGTGGATGAGGCCGAGGACAAGGACGACGAATGTTGCATCGGACATGATATTGGAATGGCGTCAGTGGCAGAGGCTTAATAGTGAGATGATGGGCTGATGGAGGCAGAGTACTGGTCACTGGTAGAGTTGTTCTAGTAGTGAGGAAAGTCGGTGATGATTGAGAACTGGACAAAATATGTCTTTCGACATATAGATGTAGAAACGTCCGAGCATCAACCCTTGACTTTTGCGTGGCGGAGTGAGCTGGAAGAATTCGTTAAACACTCGGGAGAAAGAAACTCATTTTGATATCTCCTTTTCACTGCTTTCTCTGCCGGGGTTTCCTGTATCCAGCAGACTTTGACCTATCAGCAATCTGACAGTTTTGATGGCGGTGATAGTCATATGACGGCAGGGGATAAGTGGTGAATGCAGCTACATGAGGCTAACCAATAAAGAAATATCAATATGCTTGTGGAGGGCGGTGAGCAGGCTAGCTACATTGAGGCCTTATGGCTGCCAACAAGTGTTTCTCTGTAGAGGTGAATAGCAGGGCTCTTCACACTGTTGTTTCAGACGGTGAATACCGTCGAGGCTATCGAGTACGCCACAAACTGTGGTGGCTGAGCGGTATCAAAGCACGGTGACACTGCTTAACAAGTCTACTACGATCCAATGTGCTATGCACTCTCTAGGCCTGTAGGAGACTTCTTGGAAGATGCAGCCCCCTCCCCGGAGGCATCACGCGCGAATGCGCAAAAGCTTGCTCTTTATCTAGGCTCCAGTGCAACTCAGCCGAACAACTACGTTTCTTGGATAGTATGGTAGAACACCAGATATTACGACGAAGTAAATTGAAGATATTCTGATCCACTATTTACAACCCCACATAGTGCGACCGTTAGTAAGTCCGATCGATCCAATCTCCCCAAGTGGAGCCCAACACTGTCGTTTTGGTCACAGCCGCTGAGATCGAACTCTCGTAGAGTCTGCTGGATGTGCTCGATCCATCACCGGAGTTGTTGTACTCGTAGTACAAGGGAGTCGCTCCCTCAGCCATCGTGGTCCATCCCTTGGGGTTGATGATAGCAGAAAGGACCGAGTTTTGGTAGATGACCCGGGCCAGCACTCGCCAAGGACGACCCAGGTAGACCGACTCGGTCAGAGACACTCCCGAGGCAGCCTTGATGTTGCAGTTATCGAAAGCATACCAGCCACTGTCGGTTGAAGTCTCGCGAGAGGAGGCGGTGATGGCTCCCGCTCCGTTGGAGACGATATCGCATTCGCCGAACCAGACAGAGGCATCTCCGAAGATATAGTCCACGGCACCTATTTGTGTCAGCCATTGCGGATATGTCTGTGTCTGGGCTTTGGTGTATCCATACCCTCGATCAAACAGTTGGAGTAATACTGAGTGCCGGCTTTGACGTAAAGGGTGTCTTGGTATCCCGTAAACTGGCAGCCGTAAAAGCCCAGCTGATCCGCGTTGCCGACCAGTCTACAAGCAGCAGAGTCAGAGTCAAGCGTCAAACTAGATTGAGGTCGAGAAATAATACATACGCCACGGCCTGAGCGCCCTTTCCGTATCCATTGGCGACGTTGATGTTATACATCTTGAAGTTGTCGGAGACCACGTTGACAGTGGCACTCTTGTCCAAGGACCCAGCGTCGGGCGAGGAGATGGTGTGGGTGATGGTGACAACATTGTTCTTGTACGAGCCGGTGTCACTCGTCTGCCCGTACAGCGTCAGGGCTCCGGCATACTTGATGGTAAGCTGTTCAGAATAGGTGCCACTGGCGATATAGATACATGCTGCGGCAGTTGAGGAACCCAGAGCAGTTAGGGCTGCGCTAATGGTCGAGTAGGTTTGTCCTGAGCCAACACTCAAACAGCCCGAGGGCGCACTGGTGCGACTCGTTCGCTTCTCGAGGGTTGGCGCCGGAGCTGACAGGACTGGGGCAGTGAGCCCGATAAGGGCGACAAGAGCAGAGGAGAAATGCATGGGAGAAATGTGGGAAAGTCTTTCGTAGGGAAGCGCTGATCTTTCCACTGCTGATCCTGCAGTTGGCGGTTCTGGGCGCAGGCAGATATATAGGGTTCGGCCAAGGAGAAATACGATCATGCAACGAGGGAGCCACTTCTGCAACACTGGGAGTATTTTCCACCTCTCAATCCGTTGCTACCTTGCCAGTGCCAAGGCCGAGGCACGAGGTTTGATTCTGACTGGCGCGAGCTGAGGCATGGTGGGAACAAGATTGGCATTGACAGTGCGGAGAGTCCGGAGGAATGCAGCCCAGACGAACAGGAAGATCCACATTTCCATGAATAGGATCAACTTCTCCAATAGCCTTCCGAGGCGCTCTGTTCAGACACTCGGCAGTTTGGGTTTGCAGAACCTGGAGTGCCCCTGACAATTACCGGTGTCCGTCACAGGAACAGGCTCAATTTAGCCGGGGTGGCAGCGGGAAGCTGAAACGCTGGATTGCCAAGGGCTCCTCTCGGCCCTGGCTAAATTGCCCCGCTTGTCACACTAGGGTCTTGGGCTCGTAGTCGAAGTAATGCATTGGATACTCTGCCAGGCTCCTCCATAACATCCCTCTGACCATCTATCTCCGATTTATCCGCAAGCGAGGCAGCGGAGTTGCCGCACGTGGCCCGGACCGTTGGAGACAGGAGCCCTAGCACCGCTTCAGTTTCTCCGTCCAGCCAGCTCCACTGTTGTTTCGCATTCACATGTCAAGCATGCAGTTCGTTGGAGGCAGTACCCCGAGACGAGGGCCTGAAACAGGCATTACTGCTACTGCCGTCCGTGATGAAAATAGCACGCCGTGTCTCGCATTTCAGGTAAGGATCGTCCATGCTGAGCTTTACTCTGCTATATATCTAGGCTTGCGAATGATTCAGCTCAGTAAACTCCATCAATAATCTCAAGTATCTTTTGTGCCTCTACCCTTCAGGATGGCACCACACTGGACGTCGTTGCTGCTGGCGGCGGTTGGCCTGGTTAGGGCTGCCCCTTCGCCCGTGCAACATAGTCCGGACGCTGCGCTTCGGCCTCGGGCGGTCTGCACTCCAACTGCAGGAGGCAGCTCTTCTATCGACGATGTCCCTGCCATAACCAAAGCGATTGCTAGCTGTGGTAACGGTGGCACGATCGTCATTCCCGCAGGCACCACCTATTACCTCAACAGCGTCCTCGACTTCGCTGGGTGCACGGGCTGTGACTTCCAGGTCGAGGGGTTGCTCAAGTTCGCCAGTGACACCGACTACTGGGAGGGACGCACTGCCATGATCAGCATCTCCAAGATCAACGGACTCAAGCTGCGGTCCCTGACCGGGTCGGGGGTCATCGACGGAAATGGCCAGGATGCGTGAGTCGACCCTTCCATACCTTTCAATCCTACCAGTACTGACTCTGCTTAACGTGTCAGTTGGGACCTCTTCGCCTCAGACAGTAGCTATGCCCGACCGACCCTCCTCTACATCACCGGCGGCAGTAACCTCGAGTTCTCCAACTTCCGTCAGAAGAACCCGCCCAACGTCTTCAACTCAGTCAAGGGGGGCGCGACCAACGTCGTCTTCTCCAAGCTGCGGATGGACGCGACATCCAAGTCCGACAACGACCCCAAGAACACCGACGGGTTCGACATCGGCGAGAGCACCTATGTGACCATCGCGGACACGACAGTCAAGAACGACGACGACTGCGTGGCGTTCAAGCCGAGCTCGAACTACGTCACCGTCGACACGATCACCTGCACGGGCTCGCACGGGATCTCGGTGGGCTCGCTGGGCAAGTCCAGCAGCGACACCGTCAAGAACATCTACGTCACGGGGGCGACCATGATCAACTCGACCAAGGCCGCGGGGATCAAGACCTACCCGAGCGGCGGCAGCCATGGCGTGTCGACGGTGTCGAACGTGACGTTCAACGACTTCACCATCGACAACTCCGACTACGCGTTCCAGATCCAGAGCTGCTACGGCGAAGACGCTTCGTACTGCACGACATACCCCGGGAACGCGAAGCTGTCGGGCATCAAGGTCACCGGGTTCAGCGGCACCACGAGCTCGAAGTACGATCCCACCGTGGCCAACCTGAACTGCGGATCGGGGGGAACGTGCGATGTGACGATCAGCGGGTGGAGCGTCAAGGCTCCTTCGGGCAAGTCGCAGGTGTTGTGTGCCAACACCCCGTCGAGCTTGGGGGTGACTTGTACCTCTGGGGCTTCGGGCTAGATTCGGGGGAGGGGGTTGACTTTCTGCATTATCTACCCGTGTATTCCATCAATTGAATTCCATTCCCCTTTCATCGCACATGCCGATAACATTCATCCGTATACTATGTACATAAGTCCCCGTTACACCGACCACCTTAAGCCACTCAATACCGCGGCGCCGCCTCCTTCGGAATCTGCAATAGATCCCCCACCGGCCGGCCTTGCAACCAGGCATCCATGGCGGCGTACAAATCGAAGAACGCCCGATTATCCAAATTGGGCAGATCGTTCAGAATCGGATGGCCCAGCCGCGACTGCGCGACAGCCAGATACTGGTAGCCGGGGGGATACTTGAGCAGCTCCGTGCGGTCAAAGTGCGGGACGGAGCGTCCGTCGACGGGCACCACGCGGTCCTTCTCGTAGAACAGCTTGATATACACGATCTTCCACTCGCCCTCCTCTTCGAGACAGAAGTTGATGAAGCGGCAGTCGCACTCGACGTCGAAGGCCACCCCGTCCCAGCTGAAGCGCTGCGTGATCGTGGCCTTCATCTTGCCGACGGCGCGCCGGGTGGACGGGTTGAGGTCGACGAGGGTGCCGTTCTCGCGGTGCATGATGAAGTCGCCGTTGGCGCGGCCTTTGATCGAGGTTTGGATGAAGTCGTCGATCGGGAGGCCGCCGCTCCATGCTTTTTTTGTCTTGTCTTAGTACGAATGAGGGGTTGAGGGAGGGGGAGGGGGAGGGGGACAGGGGTCAGTGGGAGCGAGACGCACTGGTGAAGACGAAGGCGCCCTCCTTGGCGAACAGGTGGCGGTAGTGGTTCCATTCGGAAGCGTCCCGATAGACCGGCCAGCCTTTGCACAGTTCCGAGACGCAGTATCGGTCGTGGATCTCAGACGGGGAGCCGTTGATGTGGCTGTAGATCGTCGGTTGGGTCTCTTTCTCGGTGATGTTGTAGACCATTTTTGCGGGGTGGATTGTCGTTTTTTTGTTTCAAATGAGATGGGCTATGACCTCCGAACAAATTCCTCTTCTCTATCTTATACTTCCTTTACCCTCGCTGGTGTGAACAATTGATCTGTGATGTCATATCCAGCCATTGCGTGGTGCTCCGAACAGTTCCGTCTTCGGGAAGGCCTTCGGCACTTGCGCCAAGATATCCACCTGGTGATGACATGTACCGAACCATTGTCAACTGGAGACATCACCGCGTCATGAACCAAGTGTGTATTTGCAATGCTTAGAGTATATACATTTCTGCTCAGCTGCCAACGCATTACACGTGACATCATTCATGGACAGAATATCCAATCCGCACCCTAGCCGACACAACCGGCTGAGCCTTCTTCCGCGACTCTCTCTCCCTCTCTCTAATTTAATCATGCATAGAACTCCGCCACCCAGGCCTTGATCTGAGCGACCTCGTTATCCACCACCTTCTTCACCCCTGCGTTGGCCACCGAGTCCGAGATGTAGAGATCCGAGCAGTGGAAGCCGCCGGGGATGATCTGGACCGGCTCGCTGGGGGTGCTGGCCAGGGGGCCGCCCGGTCGGAAGGTCGACGAGACAGTGGCGTCCTTCCAGGGATCATATTGACTGGATCCATCGTTAGTTACGTTACGACTGTGCATCTTCTAGTGCTAGACCTACCCATTCGTCCAGATCAACCGCGTGGAGTTGCCGTTCAGGAACCATCCATCGGTCCAGGCGTTGAAGGTGCTAGCGCTCTTGCCCTTGGCGCTGCCGTACGTGAAGCCGTTGACCTCGGGGAAGTACAGCGCGCATTGTCGCTGCCAGTAGTCCGCACTCACCAGACGGGGGATCAGCGTCGTCTCGCTCGAGGGGGCCCCACTGTTTTCAGTCAGTTTACTTCGCCCTGGGGTAGCGGATTTCAACGGAGGGTGCGTACTCCTGCCACCAGAAAAAGGGCTCGTTGCAGAGGAACCATTGCCACTGGCGGTCGACAGTGTTGTCGACGGAGGTGTCCGTAAAAAGGGGGCTAGTGGTGTTGTAAGTGTCGTAGCAGGCCACGCTGTACTCGTCGGACCAGTAGCCGTACGAAGCACAGTCTGAGGTTCTCGGGTTAGCTGCGCGCTGGTCGCGTTGGCTTGGGTGACTTACAGCCGGGGAAGATTTCGTTCTTGAACCAGTTGGCATAGCCTGTGAGAGCCTTCTCTAGGCCGACTCCCTTCGCCCCGGGGGTGACGGCGGCACCGGCCTCCACGTTCTGGTACCGGTCAGCACTCTCCTTAGACGAGGCACGATTATGCTGCAACATACCTCGACAGCATCGCAGAAAGCGAAGAAGCCCGAGTATCCGGTCGCGAAGGTGTTGTCCTGCCACAGGTAAGGCCCAACGGGCAGAACACTGCTATGGTCAGTATGCCGTGCACTCGACTCGCACGCAAAGAATGACATGAACGACGTACGCAGCAAAGTCATCGAAATGCTCGAGAGCCTCGAGGCCAAACAGCTTCTTCAATTCCGTCTGCTGAGCCTTGGTGCCAGTCTTGCCGATTTTATCGACATGCTCGGCCACCAGCGAAACGTCCTTGCTGCAGTTCTTGGCCATGCCGTCCTGGATGGGTCGGAAGTATTGCCACTGTTCGGTCAGCTACGGTGCATCCTAGCCACGGCGCAGGCCTACTCACGAAATCATAGATCGACTCGACCGGAGCGCTGGTCGCGTGGTACGCCCAGAAAGTCCCGGGAGCCAGATGCTCGGTCCAGGCCGTCAGGGCTCCACTGTAAGAGCCACCGACGAGCACCCACGGCTGTAGCGGATCATCAACAGGTGTCATCCAGACCATCAAGCAGCCAGGCCACTTACCACGTGGGGCGCATTGCTGCTAGTGCTGTTGCGCGCGAACCCCAGTTTCACATTTTCCGCAAAGTAGGTCAGGTCGAGAACGGATTGCTCCAGGGTGAGGTACTGGAGGGTCTCCGCGGTGAGGTTGGTGTAAGGGGAGGAACCACCCCAGTAGCGGTCTATCCACGTTAGTCGGACAGTACACGTGGTCGGACCACGGCCAACTCACGCTCGACCAGAACCACCGCACCCTGCAGCTGCTGCGCATAGACACCCGTCAGGGTGGAATTGGTCAGGTAGCCCTGATACCCGTCGGCCGAGACCTCGCCGGGGGTGAACAGGACAACCGGAGAGCCCGGGCCACCCCAGTACTGGGCGCTGTACCAGTAACGCTGGGAGAAGGTACCCTTGGACGGATCACTGTGGTCGATCAACTGCTCGAACGTGCTTTCTACCACGGACGATTCACTCGCTTGGCTCGTGGCAGCGATCGGGCGTGGAGCAAGACGGGGAGGCCGAACGGCTGCCGCAAGCGATGCCCACAGAGCCGTCACGGCCACAAGACTAACAGGGGAACAGAACCGCATGATCGCAGTGTCCGAAATCCAGGAGCACGAGCGATTGGGGAAGGGAAGAGTCGCACGATCGGCCTGTGCAAAAGTCGTTGGGGGGGGGCTGCGAGCAATTTATGAATGCGTCGAGGGGTCTGTTCGTCGCCCCAGCAAGAAATGAACCGGTCATGGCGCGCACAATGCAACCCTGTGCCACGCTCTGGCCGGGAAGATTGCGCACTGGGTGGTGGTATCTGCAGGTGAATTGGCGAGGGCGCCGGTTGACGGTCGATGCAGCGAGGCGGATCTCCTCGTCTTCCTCCGTCGGACAGCGTCGGGCCCGCGCCCGTGGTGGAGCCGGGTCGCACACATCGTCGAGAACCGGTGTGCCAGCTTATACCGGAAGGGGCATTAGGCTCACCTTTTAGGGGGGTAAGTCTGCAGGAACGGGCTTTGCCGGTCGCGCAGCTTGCAGGGTTAGGGCGAGAAGAAAGAGGGGGTGGGTGAGCGTTAGGGCGGTGGTTCGGCACGTCTAGATAACTGGCAATCTATTTGTTTATCGGTCCAATTTGCACTCTTATCGGTCCAGCACGCAATGCAATCTGCAGGGGCGGGGTAGATTCATTCCACATCCATTTATTCTCGCGGTGGCGTTCTGTGCATGGAAATTGATACTCTTGTTGCTCCTTGTTGAGGTCTGAATCTCTTCCACGCATGCCCCTAATGCTGGTGAGGTGAGGGCTGCGGCGGTCACTTGACCGGGCTCTCCCTTGCCGCTTTCTCTCAACGTGACCTAAACACAGTGCTTTAAGCCATGTCAACTCTGCTTTTTTTTTCTTGTATTCTTTATGGGAGTGAGAAGATTTCGGCGGTTTTCCTATAATTGTCAACGTTCTGCACGAGAGAAGGATTGGAGGATCCAAACACGGGAAGGAGCCAGAATGCCGTAGTTCGGCAGAGCTTATGTACAACATCCGTGCGGTCGACATCCAAATTCGAGGAGAATATTTCTTGTCAACTTGGCATGGCACCATGCTCAACCTGAACGATTATATTGCTGCAATGTAGTGCCGGTTGCACACAAGTAACAAATTGTTTCGTGGTTTCCCTGGAAAACATATATATCCGAACGTGAGCTGGGGAGGCCGAACCGAGTCTGGATGCACGCGTCAGCCCCTATTCACCTGGCGAAACCAGCATTGAGTACTCCGTACTGTATGTGAGCTGTACTCCATGAGGCTCATGTTGAGAAAGTGCTTTTGGAGACGTCGCTGGCGCATCCTCACCTGTGCTTGCCTCCATTAAGCATTGGTTTCAGTGTCCTTCCAGGTTGTTTGATCACTTTGTACTCATACTATGTGGGGACGGAAAGCGCCGGGCGAGAAGGCGGCGGAGTACGGCAAAATGCAGTGAGCAGCATCACATGACAGGGGTCACCTGATTGCCTGGCCGAAAGTGGCTAGTCCCTGTCCAGACGCTGGGCGTGACCAGCTGCGCCATGATCTGATGTCAAGCCTCATCGACCATCACAAATGTTGCATGGCATGGTCCCTGCTTCGACTGGTGGTGATAAAACAGGACACCAATGCCATCAAGACTTCAACCCCGATGACTTCCCCGCAGGCCTGTTATACCTGCCGATATCGGCGCATTCAATGCGAGCAGGCGGCCAGACCCTGCGGAAAATGCAAGAAGGCGGGGGTGGAATGCCTGGACAAGAGACCCGTCCGATGGGTCAAGGGCATCTCCATCCGAGGCAAGCGGAAAGGCTTGTCTCTCAGCAACTCTGATGCAGGCCCTTCGACCGGATCGGCCATCATCCCCTTTGTCGTACGCCCCAGACCCCCTGCTTCAGCCATAGATCATGTAAGCAAGATAGGTAAGATCACGGTGGATGGGGTCGCCCGCCCTCTAGGGAAACCGAGGGTCTGATAACTAACCAGTGCGTGACCACCAGCGCCTCTCACGATGTCGTCCGAGCTCGGAGATCCTTCAGTCGCCTGCTTAGACTCAACTTCGAAATATTACTTAAGCTACTGTAGGTAAAATCTCCACTTGTCTTGCGTGCATTTTTCTCATCACCAATTCACAGACGAGGACTGCATATGCAGCCTCTTCATCGTCTACGATAGCAGTAGTAACCCATTTCGAAAACTCATGTCGCTAGCCTTGAGTGACACCACTCTGATGAAGGCCGCTCTCGCTCTGGCAGCGCGCCACAGAGCGAATCTGGGCTATTCGTTCCAACGGTACGACGAAGAAAGGCCTCCCACTGACCTCAATGTGCATCAGGATGCCCTGGGATACAAACATCGCGCAATCAAAGCAATCTCGAATGCACTAAGTGATCCCGTCTTATGCGCCCAAGACAGCACCGTGGCCAGCGTGTTCTTGTTGATCTTTCTCGACCTACTGGAGTCTGGAAGCGATCGGTGGAATCTTCATCTGGAGGGTGCGAAGAAGCTGATCAGTTTCAGTCAGCATCAAGCTCACGAGCCTGGGGAGACGGTGAAGCTCATCCGAGATTTTATCAATAGTCAGATATACCTGTGAGTCACTACCGTCGACATCCCCAGTACCCACGACTGATGATGGCAGCATTGAGACGCTTGGCGCGACCTTCGTGCGTCCCAACCTGTTAACGGACTCGAACCCGTTAGATCAAGCGCACGTGGTGTCCAAGGAAACGGAGGCCGTAGAACAATCGTTCCTTGGCTGCCCAGACTACCTGTTGATTGCCATTCGATGCATTTCGCTCTCTCGCGACTCAGTCCACGACCCCTTCGACCAGGAGACATTGGAGTACCATAAGTACAACGTGGCATCGGTCGTCCAAATGGTGACAGAGTTTGATTGCCGGGCCTGGGCTGCTAATCTGCCGCAGTCTGATCGCACCAAAGAGAATGCGATCAATGATCTTTGCATGTTAGCTGCATCCTACAAGTTGGGGGCTCAGATCTACGGGCAGCGCGTTCTCGACACGTTATGCCACACGACCACTTCGATAACCGATCTTCTGACCCAGTTGATCCAGTCCATCGAAGCGCTCTGCGCCAGCGACAACCTCCTCAAATGCGCTCTCTGGCCGATCTGTATTGCAGGCTTGGAGTGTGACCAGGCCAGGGAAAGAGATTTTTTGATTCAGTCGCTCGAGCGATTCTGGGACAAAACGAAATGCGTCAACGTGATCAACGCAGCCAAGATCTTGCAAGGACATTGGCAGCGCAGTGGCCGTCAAGCACAGAACTCCTCGCCGTGGGTCATTGACATTGGGCTGTCCGGGCGTGATTGGCTTCTGATTTAACCTGTGGCTCGTGCAGGTTAAGTTGTGGCTGGGAAGCTCAGGCTGGAATGGGGCTAACCTGTTTCGGGAGGCGTGGATGTGGCGGGGCCCGGGCGAAAGAAGCCTTTCCGCATACGGAAAGTGAGGGGAGTGGGGCCTTTTGTCATCCGCCACACCATCACCATCAGATCCATATAAGATGCTTCATGTCGAGATCTTCACACGAGGGGAACTTCAACCTGACCGACCACTCCCAGATCGCTCACTTATATTGTCCAACATGGCTCCGTGTCACGCTCATCCTGCGACACTGGCACTTCATGCCGACGACCCTCTGCATCTGGTGACCGACGTCGCTCCCCCGATTCATCTTTCGACCACCTTCCGCTTCCCAGACAACCCCGATGACCTGATTCCGTCTGTAGACCCTGTTGTATGTGGCTACCTGTGGCTCCTGAGCTTCATATAACTCGGCTAACTTTCTCAGGACGAGTTCACCGGCAAGAACTACGTCTATTCCCGCGAATTCGCGCCCAATGCAACCCGCTTCGAATCCATTCTGACGAGTCTGATCGGGGGACATGCCGTGAGCTATGCCACCGGCCTTGCAGCCCTCACTGCAGCGCTGACTCTGTTGAATCCTCGATGCATTGCTGTGGGACAAGGCTACCACGGCAGCCACGAAGTCATCGCCGTAATCTCCCGCCTTTCGGGGCTGCAGAAGCTTGACTTAAACTGCCCTGCTGAGAGTCTGGAGAAAGGCGACGTCGTTCTTCTGGAGACGCCGATCAACCCTCTAGGCACGGCCTTTAGCATTGAAGCATATGCCAAGAAGGCGCACTCCCGCGGCGCATACCTGATTGTCGACAGCACATTTGCGCCACCCGGCTTGCAGGATCCCTTCCAGTGGGGAGCAGACCTCGTCTTGCACTCGGGATCCAAGTACTTTGGCGGACACAGTGACATGCTGTGTGGCGTGCTCGCCACCAAGGACGACAGGTGGAAGAAGCAGCTTATCGAGGATCGGCTGGCCGTGGGCAACGTGATCGGAAACCTGGAGGCCTGGTTGGGGGTGAGGAGTCTACGGACGCTGGAGGTCCGCGTGCAGCGCGCGAGCCAGACCTGCGGCAAACTAGTCTCCTGGCTGGATCAGGCCATGAAATCCGCCAATCCTGCCCCAGGCAGCGAAGAGAACGTAGTGCAGTCCGTGGTGGGCACAATATACCATGCGAGCCTGCAGGACGAGCCATGGCTGCAAAAACAAATGCCCAACGGGTTCGGCCCGGTCTTCGCGATCGTGCTGAACCAGGAGGATTTTGCGCGCACCCTGCCCAGCAAGCTGAGTTTCTTCCAGCATGCGACCAGTCTAGGTGGTGTGGAGTCGCTGATCGAGTGGCGCGCGCTTTCCGATAACCGCGTGGATCGGAAATTGCTGCGGATCAGTGTTGGTCTGGAGCACTGGGAGGACCTGAAGAACGATTTGCTGCAGGCTTTCAAGGCGTTGATCGATGCACAAATCTAGCTGGATAGTTCTTTTCTGGTGCTGTGGAGAAAATTCACCATTAGTCGCATGTTCTTTGAGCTTATAGGGTCAGGTTAGGGATTTAATCACTTTGTTTATCACTACCTCCCCTTCTGCATTTCAAGCTCTCGTGCAAAGCGCCCGCGTATACCATCGGAACCAGGGCTCTTGGAGACATGGCCGAATCGCTAGAAATAGGTGTAACGCTTCCATTGAGTTTGGGATTTTGACGGCGGCCCTGCGGCCTTGGTGGCCAGGCTGCAAACCTCGGTGGCCTCAGCTAGTTCCTCCAGGATAGCCCGACGTAGTCAGGATCAAGCATCCTCCGCCTCTCTCACGAGTTCAATCACAATTGAGGGAGTTGGAGAGTGGCGCTTTCCTGCCAAGACCTTGTCCGCCTGGATGGAAGATGGGCGAGGCCGGGCCTCCAGCTGAGAATGCCACCTGTAGTGACTTCCCACTTGATATCCATAGCGATTAACTTGACACAAACGTATTTTTCTCGACGGCTATGTGGAGTCGGCTTTTCTTGCTATACTACTATAGAAACACAAGAATGCCAATCCCCGTCGTCCCCGTCAATTCCGTCAAGCCCATCATATCCCGATCTCTTCACTGCCATCTGGTGTCGTTTACAAACTGCGTTCTGGAAGCCATGAAGTGCGCGCTCCGGGCTACATCGTCGTCATTCTCTTCCTCGGCATCCAAGCTCCGGATGTACTCGTAGTTTCTGGACACCAGCTGCATCAGAAAGGTCGGTCGCCACCTCTCCTCGATCACTCGGGAGTTACACGCTCTCCACAGGGCTCGGAGGTGCGGTGGCAGAGTCATCGTTGGGGGATAGGCCGGTTCTATCATCGGCACGAGCAGAGTGGTCCACTCGACGAGAATCTGCCCCCCCTGGGCTCCCGGTACGCCCCCATACGTCCGGAGCAGGCAGTCCAGCAGCGCCGCGGTCAGCACGTTCGGCTTCAGCGTGCGCACTGGCCACAGCCCGCGCCAGTACCCGCTGCCTCGGTCCTCATGGCGCGGAGGCACGGTGTTCGGATCGCTTGAAAGCATGTACGGCACCAGGGGCCCGGGTGGGCCTAGGAGCCCCGGGATCATCGCTCCGTTCACATCGGGGATGATGCGGGACTTGTTGTAGAGCAAAAGGCAGATGTCATGCCCATTGCTCGCGGAAGTGTGCAGGTGAGCGTCGAATCGCAGTCGCACGCCCGGGGTGCCGAGAAGGTAGCGACAGTCCGGTCTGAGCATGCAGTGAAAGAAGCCGCCAGACCCTAGGACCTGAAAAGCCCGCCACAGATCGGCATCGTCGACAACGAAGCAACATTCATCGTCAGGTAGGTGTGGGTGGCGGTTCAGGTCGCGGCCTCCGGCCAGTCGCACAGCCAACCGGCCCCAAAGTAGGTAAGGGATGGGGCCGGACTTGTCCAGGGTGTGAGCTGCTATCGCTGCGATGTCTGCGGCTGTTGGATTGAGGTCACGCAACGACTCCATAGTGACGACCGTGTCGATGGGGTGGAAATGAAATATCGCTGTGGCTCTTGGAGCGGGATGATATCCGACAGTTACCTGCTCAGCGAGTCCGAGTACCCAGCCGTGGAGGATCGATAGTCCAGGTGAGCAGGTGAATCTTGACGGGGATTTTCAAAGATGAAAACCACTCAGTGGTTTTGCGCCGAACCTTGAAGGGCAACTCCATAACCGAGTTTGGCCGGGAAGGAAGTCCCTTCTTATTGCAGGAGCCTTTCCTTCCTACTAGGTAGCAGGTAGGTACTTAGGGCCAGGGCCCGTCACATTCCCCGACTTGATGAAATTGAAAGAGAATAGAAGATATATTGGTCTCAAACATGGCGACATCTTACACACACACACACACTTCTCGCGACATCGTGTACAGTACACAAGCGTCTTCCAGTGAGAATGGAAAGACAAACAGCCAATCATCAGTTTTGCCGCGGACTCTCCAGGTTCGGCTCCACTGCGCCATTGCTCCATTTCTCCAATTCGCCACTGGGCATCTCCCCATACCCACCGTTATCTCAAGGAACTTCCTGCTTCATAACACGGAATTCCAATGTCCTTCGAGGGCCAGCCTGGGCGACCACCCAAGCGAAGGGGCCGTATTGCGCATTCGTGTGACGCGTGTTTCACTCGCAAGGTATTGCACCCTTATGCAGCGCGCTGGTTCCTGAGCAGAGCTAATGCCTGTCACCCAGATCAAGTGCAACGCCGCAAGCCCGCGATGCGACTGGTGTTCCCATCAAAACCTTCCATGTACCTTCGATAGAAACAAGCAGTACGCTTGAATACCACATCTGCCCAACAACCTATCGCTTACTCAGGCACAGAAAGAATCTCACCAATCCACCGGAGCGGGACATCCACCCAAACCCAAGCCCCGCGCAACCACACCAACCGTATGCGCCCACGTTCACCCAGGACCTGCATTTCGCCGGTCGCCATCTGGGGAATATCTGCACTTTCGATGGGGTGCCATTTTTTTCTGCCAGCGGGCGCGAATGGATCGCTGCCTGCACGGGGGACCAATTCCGCTTCCATCAGCCAGCAACTGAGTCAACCCTGGCGCAGCAACCACCCACCCCGGTGGCAAGCGCAGCTGAGCTCCCTCTACCCGACCTCCAATTTCTCTGCAGCGAGCTCAGACACTATCAAACATCCGCCTTTGCACTGTTCTTCCCGGTCATTGATGCATGCCTCTTCGAGAGCACGATCAAGGCGGCGTACAGCCGGGAATACTCGGCCGCGTCCCCCGGGGTGAACAGCGCACGCGCGTGCATCTTCGCCTTCCTCGCGTTGACCTCGCTGACGGTGCATGGGCCGAAGGGCTATCCACTCCGATACAGTGACCAATATTTCGAAGCCGCGCAACGGCTTTTGCCTGCTGTCTTGGGCGAGCCTGTGTCCGTGGACGGGCTGCAGACCGTTTTGTTACTGGTACGCCTCATCTACTACGCCTACCGAGTCCCCAAGAACTAACCTCAAACAAGTGTCTGTGCTGCCAAGGCCTCGCAGGGAACCTCTATCTAGTCGACCACTTCCTCTCAACCGCCGCGCGATTCATCTACTACCTAAAAGGCAACACATGCCCACACACCGCCACTGCCCCCGCATCACCTATCGACCATCACATCCGGGAACTCTTCTGGGTCATCTACGTGTGCGACAAGGGCCTGACGATGGTGACTGGCCTCCCGCCACGCCTCGAAGACAGCCACTGCGACCTGACCCTCTCACCGGACACTCAACCACCCCAGATCCGCGGCGACCCCTGCCCCGGAAGCTACCTGCACACCTACGCCCGTCTCGCCGTCCTCCAATCCCGCATCTACCGCGACCTCTACTCCCCGTCCGCCCTCGGCCAATCCGACGCAGACCTGCTGCGCACGATCCGCGACTGCGACCACGCCCTGGAAGCATGGAAGGCGGCCCTGCCACCCGTGAACCAGCCCTCGCTCGCAGCGGGCCGCCGCACCCCGCCGCACCGCGACATGCGTTTCTCGATCTTCCACGTGCAGTACCACCACTGCATGGTGCTGATCCACCAGCCGAGTAGCCGGTGTGCCGCGTGGACCCGGAACCAGGATACGCGGGGCACGAGCTCGAGCCTGGCGATTTCCGTCGCGGCCAGCCGGGCGCTGCTGGAGGAGTTCCTCGACTCGCGGCTGGAGTTGGGGCCGGAGAATCTCCTGTATGTCTTGATTTTCCGTCCTCTGGTTGGAAGGTGTGGGTGCGACAGTGCTAATGAGTCAAAGGTTCTCGTTGTCCTATTTCATCCAGGCTGCGATCGTGCTTTTTTGTCATGTGCTCTCGCAGCCGCTGCAGGCCGATAGTCAGGCGGTCTTGGGGCTGATGGGGCGGATCGCGGAGCTGATTCACCGGTCGGCGTACCAGCAGCATCCCCGCTGCTATATCATGCGGATCGAGACGGCCAGGGGTATTATTCTGGAGTTGAGGCGGCTAGCGGAGTGTGCCATTGTCAAGGCGAGGGGGGAGGTGAGCACCATGTAGTCGCGGTGATTGGGTGGAGCGGAAGTTGTTTCTATTCATGTACATGAAGGATAGGCTTCTAGATGTTTCGTGTGTGTACACATTAGCTATTATTGCGAGGTGAATATATCTATCATGGGGCGAAAGAGTCTCGCCAAGGCAGTTCCCAACCTCTGCATCCAAGCTGCCCATGGAATAGGAGTGCATCGTCAGCAACTACTGCTCGACATTCTGGTACCCCCGTCGTCCCCACTCGCTCTGCCGCCACTGCTTCTTATACGTATCCATTTCGGTCGACTGGACTGGGCTCCGGGGGCTTTCAGCCAGCGCCCGCTCCAGCCTCCCCTGACGCCGTTGCCGTATGCAGTAGAGCACGAACGCCGCCACGGCCGCGGCGGCGACAACCGCGGCGGCGCAGTACACCCCGACATGGGCCGCGGTCGGTAGATCCGCCCATTTCTGCGCCAGCGTCTTCTTGGGGGTCTTGTTGATCTCCGCTTTCGCCGTCGAGTTCCCACTACGCTCACCCGTCAGGCTACTTCCACTCACCCAAGAAGAACAAGCAAGCACTCACCTAACCACCTTGATACTCTCGTACGACCCCGACCGATCCGTATACTGATACTCCCTCCCGGTATGAAAGTCCTGCACGCGGATGCGCTGCACCGCCATGGTGAACGGCAGATCATCCCAGTCGACCAGGCCGCCGGCCCACTCAATATTGCCGAGCGACTCGGACGGGATGCCGGCGGGCCACACGCTCACCTTGACGCGACAGGGTGTCTGCGGGTAATTGCGGCCGTACAGGGTCAGCGGCTCGGAGTAGCGGACGGTGCGCACGAGGCGGCCGTCGATCCACCACTCAAGCCGCTCGCGGTCCCAGTACGAGGTGTAGTTGTGGAACTGGGAGTCGGCGTGCGCGACGGCGTGGATCCCGCCGCGGTCGCTGGTGGTGGTGTTGCCCTTGCCGAAGAAGTCCGACTGCACCGCGCTGGTGTTGTAGCCCACCCACTCCCAGTCAATCTCGTCGAGGTCGTCCGACTGCAGGATCACGCTGCTGATGACCCCGGGCCCCGCCGCCATCTTGACGTGCGCCTCCATCACCCCGAAGAAGATGTAGAAGTTCGACTGCAGCAGCGTCGAGCCGTTGACGCTGCGGATCGAGAAGTTCGCCCCCTCCGCGGTGTACGCCGGCGTGCCGGTCGTCATGTTCCACAGGGTGCTGTCCAGCGTGCGGTTGAACCACCAGGTGTGTGCCGTGCCGAGGGCCGCGTCGGCCGGGCAGGTTTGGTTCAGCGGGTTGCAGTCGGTTTCGTCTGCCCGGGTGAGGGTGGCGAGGATGAAGAGGAGGGGAAGGAGGAGCATGGTGGCGGGTCGGAATCAAGGCCCTCTGTAGGCGCTGTGCACGTGTGTTTGGCTTTCATGTTGGTGTGAGGAAGGTGGAGGGGTCGAGATATATAAAGCCCGGCGCAGATCCTGGTGGTGAGTCTCGATGGCAAAAGGGGCGAAAAGGTGAGAAGCGACAGCCAACCGGCTGCGTAGAGTAAGACACTGGGGGAAGGGGTCCACCGGGATTCTATTTCAAGATATCCTCATATCGGTGGTGAAGTGTGTGGATATGGAGTGCATCGCTTATGGATTGTCGCTTCGATGTCCTTCTGGTTGGGTGTTGGCCAGTGACGCCTTGCATCAGAACCGCCATGCTGGCGTCGAGCATTGCTCCTTGAGAATTCAAATGCAGTACTCAGATAACATGGACTTCCTTTGTGATTTGAGAATTTGTATGAAAGAAGGTTATGGAGTTGATCAGGAAGCAACTGTCGATCTATGGAATTCTCCGACGCCTTGCCAGGACTGGTATGGTAGGAGTGAGTAAGCGGACAAATATAATGCGCTAGCCTGGACCGGCATGGTGTGGATTATAGATGCAAACAGAACAAACCCGCGCAGCCGAGATGGCGGTGAGGGAAGGCAGGAGCGTCTCCGAGGAAATGACGGCATCGCCTCAACCCTTTGACTTTCTCCTCTCCTCTCCCAAGGTGATCACTCCTTATCACTCGATAGACTGGCCCCCACCTGCTCCACCTGTTGTCCACGGTATCAATTTCCTCTCCCTCACTTTCTCCTTCCCCTCTCCTCTCTCTCCTCCTTCTTCCCTCCACGCAATTCAATCAACAGCCTGTTTGACTGACTGATACTCCCTCTCAAGATGCGTTTCCATCTCTCCGGTCTCTCGCGACGAGCCTTGAAACCGTACGTTGCCGAATTTCTCGGCACCGCCCTCATCATCGTGATCGGTGACGGCGTCGTGGCGCAAGCCCTGCTCTCCGACTACCAGTATGGCACCTGGCTCTCCATCAACCTGGCCTGGGCGGCCGCCGTCTGTCTCTCCGGCTACATCGCCGACCCGAGTCCCGCCAGCAATCCCGCCATTTCCCTCGTCATGGCCTTCGTCCGCCCGCAGCCCGACCAGTGGAGGAAGTTGCCCGGGAAGCTGCTGGCCCAGTTCCTGGGAGGCTTCGTGGGCGCGGCCATTGTCTACATCAACTACCGGTCGGCCATCCTCGACTGGGACCCGGAATATACAATCCCGGGGGGATCGATTTTGAGCCCGCGGGGCCACCACTCGGCCGGCATCTTCTCCACTTATCCCGCCAGCTTCTTCTCCTCCAATTGGGAGGCGGTCTTCTCGGAAGTCCTCGGATCGGCCGTGCTCATGTTCGGCTCGCTGAGCGTCTCCGACCCGGCCAATGCCCACCGCTTCCACTCCCCCCAGTTCTCCATGTTTGTGCTTCTGCTCGCCATTGGAGCCGCGTTGGGCTGGCAGACTGGCTACGTAGGTGCCCTCGCGATTTGGTTTGTGTGTCGGATGCTAACCGCGATGGCTTCTCCTAGGCGATCAATCCTGCACGCGACTTTGGCCCGCGCCTCTTCTCGGCCATCCTCTACGGTCGCGAGGTCTTCACCGCCGCCAATTACTATTTCGTTGTGCCCTTGTTCGCTCCCGTCGTCGGCTGCTTCGTGGGAGCCACGGTCTACGATTCGCTGCTGTACGAGGGGGATGGATCGCGCATTGCGGACGCGCTGGACAAGGCTGAGGACGTGGATGGAGAGCTGCGCCTGCACTAGTGACTGAAATATCGATGATTGCCATGTTTTGCCATGAATGACCACGACAAGAACCTACGGATCGTCTGGACGACCGAGGCACGAAGACTACCTGGATGACGGAAAGCGATAGACTGGATCTGGATAGACGATGGCCCATAGATGGTAGATTATTATCCTAGAATACAGTTAGTATAGACACAAATGACACAAATGAGTCGAAACGAACCGGGTTCTGCGTTGGGTAGAGACCTACAACCCGCCAAGATTCGGTGATGTCTCCGGTCGGCTTCCGCGATAAGAGCGGGATCAGGTCCATGCGCCAGCTCTTTCACCGGTGACTCATCTTCGACTTCGAAAAACCCTGCGTGTTGTCAACGATATTCAATTGACTCGGCGATCACAACCGCAATCAATCTACCCCCGCCAACCAAACGGTAACTATTGCAGGACCGTTATCCCAACGCCGCTGATCAAGCCCTGCTAGTCCCCACTCATAGCGCGCGGCCCATGGCGTCCAACCCGTACACGCTGTACTACGCCCCAGGCACGGCCAGTCTGTGCGTACACTGGATGCTGATCGAGGCCAACCTGCCCTTCGACGCGATCCCCGTCGACTTCACCACGGGGGCCCAGCGCACCGAGGCCTACCGCCGACTGAACCCGACCGGGCGCGTCCCCACGCTGATCGTGGACGGCGAGGCGCACGGGGAAAGCACGGCCCTGCTGATGCTGCTGGCGGAGCGTCACCCCGACCGCGGGCTGATGCCGGCCGTGGAGCAGGCCGCGACGCGCCCGCAGTGGCTGCAGACGATGGTCTACCTGGCCAACACGGTGCTGCCCGCGATGCGCGACTGGTTCTATGCCGACACGGACGGCCCGGCCGACGGGGCGGCCGCGGTGCGTGCCCTGGCGCGCCGACGGATCGAGGGGGCCTGGGAATCACTGGACGCGCGCCTGGCCGGACCAGCGGGCCCCCGCGGATCGCCTTCCTTGCACAAACCTCCAGGTTATCTCGTCGGGGAGACCCTGACGACGGCGGACTTCCTGGCCGTGATGCTGATGCGCTGGGCGCGCGACATGCCCCGACCGGCGACGAGCTGGCCGCATCTGGCCTCGTACGTGGATCGCCTCACGGCCTTGCCTTCCTGGAAGGAGGTCTGTCGTCGCGAGGGTTTGTCCGATTGGCCCCCGGCCAGGGATCGGTGATAGTGATAGTGACGGTGACGGTGACGGGCTGGGGATGCACCCGTAATGAGGAGCAAGTGAGCTATCCAGGTCAGGAACGCATCTATCCAGCTTAGTCGGTCTTGCTATTATACTCCGAATACCACCGTGCTTCCATCGCCTCAAAGGGGGTTAAAGTCTTTGTAAACCTGTAACACGAATTATAATACGGCTGCGTATAGGTGGAGATTGATTGACATGATTGATGGATTGATTGATTGATTGTGGAGGCAGAAGTGATGGATCGAATCGCACGGGCCGGGGGTTTGAGGAAGAAGACCCACTGACTTCACCAGCAATCCTGGATTGACTACGGAAGTATAGTTCCAGCCGTTATAGGCCTCCAATTGCCCGATTGGGCATGATTGACAGGGCTAGTCTTTGGGGATGCCTTGACGAAGCCCCTTTACATGTGGTACGGGAGGCCCGACCGACCACTTCGGCACATCAGCCCCGATTATCAGAACTGCACTGCGCCGCCAATTTCCCCTAGCAGAGGGAATACAGGACCCCGTCGTAAATTCTGGGTGTCGGTGTCTCGACTCTGCTGTCAAACTCTGACGGGCCCTCGACCCTTGGTTCGGCCGAAGGAAACCTCCTGCCGCATGAGGCTGTCAGTGGTGGACACATCACAAAGATGGGTCGTGCAGCATCCAGATCTCCACTTCACTCCCAGTGCTTGCTGCTGGTTGGGGCGCGCAGTGACAGGTGCCGTTCACAGGTGCATGCGTCGTCCACTCAAACGGTGACCGTTTCACCTGCTCGACCTTAAGGCTCGGTCGCAAAAATTGGGCGAGGGGCCCCCCTCCCCCCTTCCGCCCCGTGCAGCCCGCCAGGGATTCGATGGCTCACATCAGTGGAGTCGGCTTAAATTAAGTCTTGTCTGTGGTCGCGATCCCTCTTCTAGATTTTTGACTGATGATGCTTCCCCGTTGATCCGCGGGTTTCCCCTGCAGTGGCGGTTGGGGGTTGAGGGTATCTAAATGGCGCCATGTCCGCATTGCTGTTCCGGACTGGCAGGGCTGGTACACTCTGTCTGTCTTTGCGGGACATTGACATTAACAGTGACTTCCCTGTCGATATTCTTTTCCTTTCCTTTGTTGGAGTTCACTCCGCCAGACTGAGTCTCCCTAACCGCCATGCCTGGAGGGCTGAATCCGCCGTTGTCGGTGATCGAGTCCTGGCCAGCACCCAACACCGTCAACCCCGACTCGCATGGCCCGGCCGCCATTGTGGTTGCTGCCGCCTTCGGAGGGATCGCAATCGTCACGGTGGTGGTGCGGCTGTACGCACGGTGTATGATTCAGCACACGGGCGGCCTCGATGACATCCTGATTGCGCTGGCTCTGGTATGTGACGTCGCATCTTCTTCCTTCTCGGCCCGAAGCTAACCACTACCAATTCCAGCTACCGACCCTCGGCCTCATCATCTCCGTCCCGATTGGTAAGCAACACCCTCCAAGTCTTCGGGGACAATTGGCTGACTGTGAATCCCACAGCCAGCGAAGTCTACGGCGAGAAACACCACACGTGGGACAACAGCGTCGCGAACCTGATCGGCGAGCGCAAGGTGGCGGCGGCGTCGGAGCTGTTCTACGTGCTGGCGTCGGGGCTGATCAAGACCTCGGTGCTGCTGTTCTACCGGCGCATGAGCCAGCGGACGGTGTCGCCGCGGTTCCGCGCGCTGATCTGGGTCAGCATCGGGTCGGTGGTGGCCTACAGCGTGGCGTTCGTGCTGGCGCTGTTCCTCTCGTGCCGGCCGCTGCGCGCCTTCTGGCGCCAGGTCGACCCGGCCTGGGCCCTGACGCACCACTACCGCTGCTACGACGAGGGCGCGCACCTGATCGCGGCGACCTCGATCAGCCTCGCGCAGGACCTGCTGGCCACGACCCTGCCGGCCGTGTTCTGCATCCGGCTGCACATGCGCCGCCGCCAGAAGGTCGCCCTCACCGCCGTCTTCTCCGTCGGGTACCTCACGGCCGTCGTCGCGGGGATTCGGATCTACTTCCTGTGGCGCATGTTCTACGCCTCGTACGACGGGTCCTGGATGGCCTGGTACTGCTGGGTGCTGGCCCTGCTGGAGGTGGCCCTGGCGGCGACCTCGGCCAGCCTGCCGGCCGTCAAGGTGTTCTTCCGCTGGTACCAGGTGCCGTCGAGCCTGGCGGGGAAGCTGCGCTCCTTGAAGCTGAGCCACAGCCATAGCCACAGTACGCGGACGCCGACGGGGCAGTCCGCTTCGCACGGGGGGCATAATCGGGAGCGGACGCGTGGTCGGCGGTCCGGCGATACGGATCAGTATCTGGTGACCATGGAGACTGCTTCTGGGGATGAGCATCCCAGAATGGTGGAGTTGGAGGCGTTATCGTCGCCGTCCGGGGAGGGGGAGGAGCGAGAGCGGGAGTTGAGCAAGGGGGCGGCGGAGAAGAGCTGGCCGTGCGGCGGTGGAGATGCCATTGTTTGATTGGATTTGTATATACCATCAATAAAACAGTTTGTGAGCGATGAAGCGTGCAGTATTGGTATTTAAGAGGAATACCAACGATCACCGACAAGTAAGGCTAGGGCCAACCGCGCGAGGGCGTTACTTTTCCCGCGGCGCGGGCCTCGGCAGTGGGGATCGCAACGAGATCCTGTTGGTGATTCAGCATGCGATCGCGCATCCAACCGCCTAAACGGGTTAACTTACCCGGTCGGCACCGCATTCTGCGCCGTGGGCAGTGGGCACGGATGGCCGTGCAAATGGCGACATTGGCTGGCCGGAGTGTATGTCCCCGCACGAGGGGATGGGGAAATGCTGCAGGCATTTTCTGCATCTTCTGAGGGGAACCTGGGCTATATAACCGCTGTCAATAGTCTGACGCGCTCGTCGGCAAAGTTGTTTCCTCTCATTTCCCATCTCTGACTTACCTCTGTTTCTCTCTCATCCCCTCACCCACAACACTCCATCCACCACCACCTCACGAACAAAATGGCCATTTTACTCCACCCCCTCCTCGCCAAACCCATCCAAAAGGGCAACCCCAACTTCTCCGGCGGAACCCTCAAATGCCACTGCACCAGCAACCCGGTCACCGTCACCGTGACCAGCAACGTCGCCCACAACCACGCGTGCGGCTGCTCCAAATGCTGGAAGCCGGGCGGCGCCCTGTTCTCGGTCGTGGGCGTCGTGCCCCGGGAGAAGGTGTCGGTGTCCTCGCACGCCGAGAAACTGGCCATCGTGGACGAGGCGGCCGTCATCCAGCGGCACGCCTGCACGGGCTGCGGGGTGCATCTGTTCGGGCGCATCGAGAGGGACCACCCCTTCAAGGGGCTGGACTTCGTGCATGTGGAGCTGTCGGACGAGAAGGGGTGGCAGGAGGTGCAGTTTGCCGGGTTCGTGTCGAGTATCATCGAGCAGGGGTTTCCGCCCCAGAAAATGGAGGACGTGAGGGGTCGGTTGCGCGCGTTGGGGCTGGAGACGTTTGATGTGCTGGCGCCTGCGTTGATGGATGCTATTGCGGCGTGGACGGCGGAGAGGGAGGGGAAGTTGAGGGCTTCGCTTTAGAATCACTCTGGGGTGTCTGCGGGTGGATCGTTGGTTTCTGGGGAATGCATTCTGTGACAGTGTTAGCGAGGGACTTTGAGGACTGTGTTGGGTTTGAATGACAATGCTAGCGCCCGGCTGACAGCATGGCGATGAGGAATTTGCGATGGGTTTGCTGTTGTGAACTACCCATTTTTTGTGGTAAACTTGCGCTGTAGATGTCAGGACGTGACGGTTGCAAGTCGATGGTGGTTAGTTTGGGATATGACGACAGGAATTGAGATTCTTACCCTCATGGATGCTGTTCATGTATCAATGGATGTAGACTGGAGGGCAAACTGTTTTTGAAGGTGCGGAGTTTGGGTACCTTGGAGGTAACTGGTGAGTGGTCCCACACCGGTAGATTTGCTACAGGAATGGCGCCTAAATTTGTCAGCACGGATGAGAGGTCTTGGGATCCGCCGGACAGTCGGGTCAGTAAATTGGTAAGCGGCATCTCACGCCCGGAAGGTGATCAGATGTGACTGTTTTGTACTGAACATTCATGACAACGCACAAATACGGTCATTAATGGTACACCTGCTGGCTCTTTCCTGTTCCAGAGACTACAACCAGATTCTGAGTGACTTGGCAGACGTTGTTGCTGACCAATTCAAGAGCGAACCTGGGCTGAGCAAGTACCCCCCTCAGCGGGAACTTATAAATGAGGACCTGGCTTGGTAGATGGAAGATTAGTAGGACGTCTGAGAACCTTGAAGTTTACAGCCCAATTCTCAATCAATTTTGATAAGTCTGCCCCAACATGGCCGACAGATCCAAAACCGCCCTCGTACTAGTCGACCCCTACAACGACTTCCTGCACCCTGACGGCAAGCTCACCCCGTTGCTGAAAGACCTCGGGGAGAAAGAAACCATCAAACACATCGAGGAAGCCGTGGCTGCAGCCCGCCTGCATCGCATCCCAGTCTACTACGGACTACACCAGCACTGGACCCCATCTGCCTTCCAGGAATGGCGGCACATGACACCCAACAACGTCAAGCAGGAGAAGATCAAGTTCTTCGAAGCAGGCACGTTTGGTGCCGAGATCTACCAAGGCTTGGAACCAGATGCCAGCAATGGGGAGTGGTCGTGAGTTGACACTGGAATAGCGAGTGAGTTTTCTCGCCTTGATATGGTAGAGCTGCGCTGTTGCTAATGTGCATCTACTGAGAAGCTCCTTCCAGAACACCGACCTGGACTTCCAGCTGCGCCAGCGCGAGATAGTGAATCTGGTGCTGGCCGGGCTGACGGCCAATACTTGTCTGGAAGCTACTGCGCGGCATGCTTTTGAGCTGTAAGTCTCTGGGGTATATGAGACAAGGAACTTGGTAGACGCTGAGGATATTGTTTGACTACACAGAGGCTATAATGTGACTCTACTGTAAGAAACCGCTCCTTGATCGAGATTGCACATACTGATAGGAATGCTTTCGTAGCAAGGATGCCACGGCCGGGTGGTCTAAGGAGCTGACGGACGCGGCGACCGAGTTGGTCTGGCCGTTGTTTGAGCAGGTGAAGTCTGTGGAAGGATGGGTGGAATCTTTGAAGGCAGAAGAAAAGGCTTAACGTTGTTTGAACATACAATCGATCTAGCTGATGCTATACCAGAGTAGTTAATTTGAGCTGGATAATGTTGATTACTGTTTAGTTGCTGTGCCAAATTTGTCATCATTCCCAATTCCAAAGCGATTACTGCGTGTCACGATCACGTGCTGATAGACTGTTTGCCCATTCTTCTGACTAATCTACTCCCGCCTCGGCTTGTTGACGGTAACAGCTGAGAAACATGCGAACATCTTCAATCCATCGCCCCTCACCCCACAACCACATACACCGATGGCCGTACGGAAGACACGTTCAAAACGCCCTACGCGTGGCTCAGATAACCGACGAGTTGGTCTCCGTACCGCCCACACTGAGGCAATGTCGGAGTCGCCGGTCGCTCATCCCGAAACCCCATTACGGATCTCGTGGGCGGACACCCTCGCCGCCTTAGAGCGAGAACCCATGGCATCGCAGATCCAGCGGCATAAACAGTGGAAACGTACGTGGTCCTTCCCTGTCTCCTGCGCCGACTGCCTTTCATTCTTACCATGCCCAACTTAGGAGATGGGTCGATCCACGAAACATACTGTCGGGTTTGCTTCCGCGGGGAGAACCTGGAGCCATGTGCGACCTGTCGACTGGCATTTCACGCCGACTGTCTGCCGACCGGGTGGATGCGAGATACCGACCACCACATGTTCTGCTCTGCCTGTGTCCGGCGCGAGTGGCATATCTCTCCTCCGACACTGACACCTCCTACCTCCCCACGACCGGCGGGGGTAGAGACATCAGGTGCAGCTCCCGCCGCCTCTTCCGCTCTCCATCCGAGCACACTGTCCTCTACTCCTTTGCCTCATGGCAGTGTATCTCATACCAAGCCGCCCATTTTCTCCCCGCTCCCCGGACACAGCCTCTTACACGAACCCAATCCAGCCATCGACAACACTATCCCCGCCCCGCACCCCGACCCATCCCCCCCGCCAGCCCGCCGCAACCGCAAGTCCCGGTACACGAACCTCCCCGCCGACGTCGACGCCTCGCTGAACGTCCTCTACCGCGAACTAGAGTCGAACGCGTCGCTGCGGCTCGAGAACGAGGACCTGCGCGAGGAGAACCTGCGGTGCCAGCAGATCATCAAGATTCGGGATATGAGCCTGATGGCGCTGCGGCGCGAGGTGGAGTATCGGCGGTCGTCGGAGCAGGAGATGGAGACGCTGCGCGCGACGGCGGCGCAGCTGGAGAGCGCGAGGAAGGAAGTGCAGGAACTGCGGGCGCGGAATGAAGCGTTGGAGGCGGAGCTGGAGCAGTCGAGGCAGGAGGCGGTTGAGGCGAAGGAGATGGTGAGTGATTGGAAGGCGAAGTTATCTACGCTGTTGGGCGTCTGAATCTGTAATCATAGACATGATTTGGTTTATTGGCAATTCTAGCTGTCGTCGACTTACTTCCGCTGCCCTCCAAGTCTACCTAGTATCCTCTACCGCACCCGGTGGATACGGTGTCTTCTCACCTCTCCAACTCTATGCACCCTGTCGATTGTCATATATTGAAACCCAAGTACCTCCAACCCAATCAAGCTTTTGACTCCCACTCCCAACCAACCTTGGCCACTCTCGCAGCCAACGCAGCCCCCGCACCAAGTACAATACACACCCCCGCAAAGATCTGCGCCCCTATATACCCGCCCCCAGCGCGTGAGATAAACGCCCCCTCCAGCACCGGCCGCGTCAACGTCGCAAAGCCCACAATACTCAGGATCATCCCAATCCTGGTCCCCGTCCGCTTGATATCCGGGGTCATCGTCGTGGCAGTCGCGGGGAAGAGCGACTGCGCTGCGCCGCCCACCAGCCCATAGACAACCGCAAACACATACAGCCCGGCAACGGTGTCGACCGGCATCCAACATAGAATCACGATCGCGGAGGCAAAACTGAGCGGAATCAAGACATTAAGTTTCCCAAGTCGGTCCCCGACAAGACTAGGTCCGACACGTCCGATAATGCCCACGCCGTTCAGCACCAGAATCAAATCCTGCGTGTCCGTCACCCCGAGGCGGTCGCGCGCGAAGGTCCCGAGGTAGAAGAAGGCGAAGTAGAGGCCCCAGAAGTTGAGGAACATGCTGGCTGTGAAGAAGAGGAAGGGCCGCTCGGTGAACGCGCCCCATTCGATCAGAGGGCCCGTTCGTCGGGCCGGAAGCCGGGGCTGGAAGAGCACCACCCCCGGCATCTGCGTCACCAGCATCAGCAGCCCCGCGGCGCGGATCGTCCACCCGAACCCGATCTGCTGCGTGTACAGCAGCTGGTTCACCAGCACGGGGTAGATCAGGCCGCCTGTCGCAGCCCCGGCCGCGGCTACTCCCACCGCGAAGGCGCGGTTTTCGACAAAGTAGGAGGCCATGATCGAGAGTCCCGGGCTGAAGGTCAGGCCGTTGCCCAGCCCCATGCAGACGGCCTGCGTCAGGAAGATCTGCCAGTAGGTCTTGGCGAGGGAGAGCAGGAAGACGCCGAGCAGCTGGAGGAAGACCCCCAGCGCGAAGACGAGACGGAAGTAGCCTGCGTCCGTGGCGCGGCCGACCACCGCCCCGGCGAAGAAGAGAAGGGAGACCTGCACGCTGCCGATCCAGGAGATGGTCGAGGCGGACTGGGGCAGGGTCTCGGTGTAGAGCTGCTCGAAGACGGAGAAGCTGTTGCTCACGCCCCAGGAGTTGAAGAAGACGAAGTGCATGCAGAGGACTTGTGTCCATGCCTGGAGGCCTCCGTCGGGCGGGAGTGGCAGTGGCTCGGTGCCTGGGTCTGGGTCTCGGGGACGAGTGAGGGCTCGAAGTGGCTTGTCCATCCAGTTCATTCTGAATTAACCTGAAGATTACATGACTACCCCAAAGAATGATAGTTCACTGCCTTCAGCAGGTAAAAATGGTTTGTGGAGATTGGTTAATGGTGAAGACACCCCCATATACCACCCAAGTCCAGCTCACCCGGGCAGGAGACGCAGGATTACAAATTTGATTCCTGGCCAGTCCAACAAATACCGACTACTGAGGCCAATACCTACCGATGTACTGCAGCTACCAGTTAATCACTACCACTACGGGCGGCTGTTATGCTTGAGCAAGGCGATGCATACGTGAGCTTACTGTACCTTACCATACCATACCATGCAGAGTGGGGTAGCACTTGCTTACCAATCTTAGTCTGCAGTTGCCTGTCGCAGTAACACTAATTTTGTGGTTGTGCTGTTATCGCTCTTCCTCTCCCATACTTGACTCATTTTGATGGTGACAGTGGAAGACCCTGAAGCATATCGCCACGTGACTGTCGCGCTTTCCACTTCACCTTCTCATCTTCTCATCACGTTCCTCAAACTCTCAAACATCTCACCCCACCGCTTAGGTCCACCCTCCACAGTCTGATTGCACGTGCGTCGAGTCTCGACTCAAATGTCAGTCGCCTCCTCGGTAGCCGATTCCTGGTTGCGAGTGCTTTCCTGTTTCCCCATCCAGGATAGTAGGTGAGTGTGGTCGCGGAAGTCACAAGATAACCAGACTCAACATCAGACGACTTTGTTCATCCTTGCCTGGTAGGACCCAGAACCTTGTAATGAAGCCATCCTATCTGGCTTGACTGACTTCAAGATTGATTGCTGAATAGTAGTCGATTCCACAGGAACCCCCCGGTCGACGTTCCCCCCGGTTGACGTCCTCCCCGTTCCCCCCGTCCTCCAAGCTTCTGATTGACTTCCAGATCTGCTGTACCTTGACTTCGAAACAAATTGACTTTGCCCCTCATCCGTTCCAACGAACCTGCTCGGTTTTCAGCAGCTGCAAAGAGATCCAGACTTGAGCTGGCGGTGGGATGAGCCATTGGCCGGCATCGCGGCCGGCTGGACGGGTCGATGATGCGGGTGGCTTATGCGACTTCGACACCTCACTCTAGTCGTAATTCATCGCTGAGCCACTTTGCCGGTCAACAAGTACTCTCGTGGATCTATAAAGTTGGCATGCAGGACGATAGAAGAAGAGGGATGCTCTTCTTCGTCGACGCATCCCCGTCCCACAGCTTCTGCCTGGAGACGTGACTTGACCATGACCCGCAGAGCCCTCGAGCAACTCGTCGACACGATCGCGGAGAATGGAGAGATCCTGAAGCAGCAAGTTCGACGCGAAGACCACGACTCGCTCGGAAGCTGCTTGGCTGATCCATGTCGGATGAACGGGGATGCCTCCAAGGCGCGCCTGGCTGTCATTGACGCATCGAAGCGGCTGGTCCGTCTGGTGACTGGGCCATACGATCTTTTTTATGATATGATGTCCGAGGTAGCCCACAACCTCCTTATCAGATGCACTGGTCAACAATTCCCAATGCTAATGCATCACCTTTGATAGGTTTTCCAGGTCGGCGCGATCCGGGCACTGATGAACTTCGGCATTCCCCAGTTGATCCCCCTCCATGAGCCCCTAGCCGCTATTGTCCTCGAACTCCTCTCCGGTCTTGGAAGAGACCCCCTCCGTCGCCTGATTCGATATACGGCAAGCTATGGCTTCCTGCAGGAGGTCGAGCCCGAGATGTTTGGTCACACTCCGCCGTCGGCCCTGTGCGTGCACGACCCCGTTGCCACGCGCAGCTGCATGTGGAACCTGAATGTTACCTTCCCGGTCGCGAGCAAGATCTACGAAGGGCTCAAGGTCGACCCGTCTGCCAGCGACACACGCGCTGCGCCGCCAGTGTCGTCTACGCTTCCCGGGAGAAGCAAATCACCAATATCTGGGACTATCACCGATCATACCCGAAGCTGGAGCTTGGTTTTCATGACTATATTAATGCGACGACGCGGAGTGCGTACTACTCATCCTTGCACACCGTGCGGGGATTCGACTGGTTGAGCGTGCATACTGTCGTTGATGTAAGAGTCAAACTATCTCCAGCTTCTCGACTGAGATGCGCTAACGATGATGCTCATAGATTGGCGGCTCCTCGGGCCATGTGAGCATGGCACTCACCGAAGCATATCCCCACCTCCACTGCATCGTCGAAGACCTGCCCGACGTGATTAGCGAGAGCCGCCAGACGCTACCCCCAGCCTACGCGGACAAGGTCGAGTACCTGGCCCATAGCTTCTTCGAGCCCCAGCCTGTCGCTTCAGCGGACTGCTTCCTCCTGCGTTTTGTCCTGCATAACTGGTTGGATGAGGACGTCTGTCGGATAATCGCGAACCTGTCGCCCGCCCTGCGGCCCGGCGTGTGGGTTCTCATCGCGGACATTGTCGTGCCAGAAATAGGATCTTCCTCGGGTCAGGTAGAAGCAATCGTGCGGTACATGGACTGCCGTATGCTGGCGCTGCTTGGGGGCCGGGAGCGGACCAAGAATGATATCGTCGCGCTGGTGCAGGGGGTAGATACTCGGCTGGTGTGGAAGTCCTGCACGCATCCGGAGGGAAGTGTGGCGAGCTTTCTGGCTTTTCAGTGTGTTTGAGCTGTTTTTGTTGTCGAAACTGGTAGCGAATCTTGAGATTGAGCTTGATGATGATGATCACATGAGTGCATTGCTTCTTCGCGATGCTGGGGCGGGTTGCGACTCCTTCGGCTCCCGTTATGTAGGTTTCCTAGCCACATCATGATTCTCGGTTCTCGGGCTAGGCATGATGTGAGACGATAGGCATCAGGACGTATCATTGACTATCATAAGCTATAATATTGACATCTTAAAAAGACCGGTTCACGTGATATGTAGCCATGCATATCATCCATGTTGGGGCTGGACATTGGCCATATTGTTTCTTAGTCTAGGGAAGTATCAAAACCACTGACTGCGTTGACTAATTACGAAAGATCAAACCGGACAAAGGAAAAAGTCGATTGTTTGAGTTGGACTGAATTGCCTACATATGACTATTTTTAATATTTTGGTGTTTGGAACTGTACTGTAAGTACTGGGGCGGCACGGGCGAGGAAGCGACGGAAGACGGTGGCGTTTTCTTTCCCTCTGGCTCCCACGTCACTTCTTCCTTTTTCACCACCCTCATGTCTCTCTTGTTGAAAATAACCTTGGGCGAATCCATCGTTTGAATCCTTCATTCGACCATCTTTATAGCATCACAGATAGCCTCATCCTATTGATGTAAGGTTGTCGCCCGCAGCACCAATGACCTCAGCAGTACTGTCCCACCTGCGTCGCAGGCTATTCGGCGGGATTCCTGTATTTGGCATTCAGCACGTTGCCGATCTTCAACAGCTCCTCACGCCAGTGAGCCGAATCGACCTTCGCAACAGCCGCTGGGTCCTTGTTGGGCCAGTCGGAATCATAGTCCAGGTCCTCGCCCAGAGTCAATGTGCCGGTCCAGAAGGGTTCTCCCAAACCGGTCAGTAGGCCGGGACCCTGAGCGTCGCCGGCGTTGGGGTCCCTCCAGACATTGACCTTGAAGTGTTTTCCACTGCTGAAGAAGAAGTCGCCGGGCACATCTGCGGTCGCGGACACCTTTCCGGTGACGGGCTGCATGGCCACCTCGGGGTGCTCGGCCAAGGCGAGGATCAAGCCGTTGGCAAGGTCGTCGGCACTGATGCTGTCTTCTACTCCCGGGTCGGGGGATAAGGAGACGTTGGCGGCGGAGAGGGCGACGTTCGGAGACCGGACCAGCACGTGGGAAATATGCTGCTGCGCCGGCGTGCCGTAAAGGTAGAACGGGGTGTCTGTCTTTGGATATTGCGGGTCTCGGTTCACCACGTTCAACGGCCGGCTCTTGATGATGTCGTCCCTGGTGATCGTGACCTCTCCTGTGGACAAGGCGCGCACGTCCCTGGAGTGTGACGTTAGTATTGGGATTTGGTACCGAGATGGGCTAAACAGGTAGGGAACATACAAGTCGGGATTCTCGTGTTGGCGGAGATAGTCCACCTTCGCGTAGATCTCGGCGTTGAACGTTAAGTCCGTGTGGGGAAGATCGTCAATGCCCTGCTGAAGGTTGATGACATCCTGGGACACCAGGAGGAGAGATGTCTCTGGGCTTTGGTTCTTGCAGTCCCGATACTTTTGTTCCAGGTCGGGGCTGAGGGTGGCGCGGACGATCAGCTGCTGACGGAGGGTGGCAGTGTGGAACGAGGTTTGCAAGACCAGGAAGGTCTTTCCGGACTCCTCGATTCCTTGCAGGAGGAATTGGGCCTTGTGTGCCGCGGGGTCGTTGCGCTTTCGGACTTGCTGGACTTCTTCGTTGACGACTCGCTCGAATTCGTCCCAGAGCGTGCCGATGAAGTAGTGCTTGGTGGGGAAGGGACTCATGACCACGTTGCGCAGGACGAAAAGCTCCTCGTCGACCTCCGTGAGGCCCAATCTGCGCATGAAGGTCTTTGCACACGCGCCGTAATGCTTGGGCTCAAACTTGGTCGAGGTTAGGTAGACGGGGATCTTGGTTGGGTCGGTGTCCACCCCCGTGATGGAAAGCCGGTCAACGACCCTCTTCATCAGGTAGTTGGCTTCTTCGATGTCGGTGTTCAGGGTTGTCTTCGCCTCGTCGACGTAGAAGTTGAGAGCAAAGGCGTTGATGTTGGTGTCGGAGCCCAGTTGGCGCAGCAGGTTCATTGCGACAGGGTCCTGCAGGAGGGCCTCGTTCTGCTGTCCCAGGATGCGCATTCGAATGAGATCCCGGTCGGCCTCAACCTCTGGGGAGTTGAAGGCGTGTCCCTCCTGCTCCCGGGGCAGTCGGTTGAACGGGACGCAGATGAAGTCCTTTCTGTTCTCCTGCCTGAAGTCACTGTGGACGGCATAGCGCACCGATAGCTGCCAGACTGTCAGCCCAGAGAATCAAGAAACTCGCTCGCGAAGAACCTACCCTGGAGCTGGTGAAAGATGCTTGACCCAGCAGCTTCCCGTATCCGTCAGGATCCAGACCAATCGTCTGGTTGGAGAGCCACGTTGACATGGCAGCTGCGCCGGGTTTGCTGCAACAGCCACCATGGATGGATGGTTAGTCGGTGCACCCTGAGCTGAAGCAGTCACGGAAGACACTCACCTTCCCTCTACCCCATATACCCCAATATTCTCTGCCGACCCCTGCGACAGATAGGGACTGGACCAAGTCACCAAGTATCGCATCCGGCCGTCTCTGTAGACCAAGCTCCCTGCCGGGTACGGGATATAGCCAGCCTTATGGGGGTCGACCGTGATGGAGTCCGCATGGCGAAGAGCCAAGAGGTCGGTTTCAGTCTCCTTTCGCAGAGTCAGGGCTGGCACCGCGCCTCTGTCGGCGTCGCCCCTTTCAGGACCCCGCAGTCCTCGGCGCAGCATGGTAGCAAAGTAACCTCCCCAGGCAGCATCCGCATGAACAAGGAAAGACAGGCCTTTCTCTTGCATCTCGTTTCGAATTCGCACAATCTCCGACAGCCGGTCAACGGCCCCCTCTTCGGTGGATCCAATGACGGCCACCACCGCATAGACGGGGATCCCGTTTTCAAGGCACTCGTTCAGAGTAGCTCTCAGTTGCGTCAGATCAATGTGAGCGTCGTCGTCCACCTCCACTTCGAGAAGATTCGCCGATCCCAACCCGGCAATGGCTGGACAGGTTAGCTTTCTGGTCCGTGGTGACATTGGCCGACTTGGGAATTTACATACCCAGTCCCTTCGGCCAGGAGTAATGGTTGGTCTTCGACACGATGAATTTCATCGCCTTGAGACTCCTGTAAAAGTGGTGGGTCTCGTCGGTCTCCTCATGCAAGAGACCCGCTGACTGGATGTTATAAGGCTCCAAGGCATTCTTGAGGTAGTCGCTCGAAATGCCAAACTCTCGGTACAGACGATCGGGCAGATCGAGGACAGTCTTGGGCTTCAGATTGAGAAGATCCCAGGTTGCTAACCGTGCAAATTTCTCTGTCCCGCCCCTGCAGGTTTCCACCTCGAACCGGTCCGCGATGAAATTCAGGTTCCCGTTCACGATGGCTTGATGAAGGGCCAAAGGGTAGAACTTCAGGTTTCGCGCTGGTCATGTCTTAATGCATGATTTGGGATGTTTGAAAGGGAAGTAAGTACGTACCGACCCAGATCGATTCCAGATTGGCGACCGTGCCGTCGCAGGTGATATGGCCCCATGACATCGGCTCATTCTGTCTTTCTCTATGAGGATCCTCTGTGAGGGGAGTTTTGTATCCGAACAGCTCGCCCAGTTGCTGTCCGACCAGCAACTCCGCGACGGTGGTCATGGGACTGGCTTCGAGGGCGACGTTGTTGGGATTGTACAGCATCGTCATGAAGTACCCCAGCAAGGACGGCATGGTCAAGTCGGTGCACATGTGGGCTTCATAGCGGGGAGACCAGAAAGGCACCGAGTGCTCTCCGAGGAGCTGGGCCACTTTTCGGACGACGTCACCGAAGTTGTCCCTCACCTTCTGAAACTCCGGCGATCTCCGGACTTCCTTGGTGATGAACTTCTGGCTCTTTCAACGGGTCAGTCGACGCGAAACAGCAGAGGGGGGAAGGCGAGTACATGATCCTCGGGGTAGTAATCAAGCCTGGTTTCAAGCAGTTCATCCAGAATGGTGTTGATGTTTGCTCTGAAATCAGGCATGTTGGCAGCCCGTGGGCCGATGAAATAGTTGTTGATCACATTTTGGTTGGTGATTTGGTCTTCGCCGCGCTCAGCATGAGCTAGGACTGGAGGTGCATCAGCCATGATGGATGAGTTTTTATCGAAGACTCTGCCGGCTCTGGAAAGATGATGAACGCCTTTAGCTGGACTGGATAGGATGCGGTTTTTATAACAATATCCGATCTTTCGGGGTCTGCTCAGCCGGTTCTATTCAGGTCGCCTCGTATCGTCTAGCAGGGTTATCCTTGTCCGGTGTGCCTCGATGCGTCCGACTTGACACCCACTCCACTCGAGCCAGCTTATGGTGGGCTGCGAAACTGCATGATGTGGTCATTCTCCTTCAAGCTCCATTGCAATCGTGGCTGATGAGGTTGCAGATCGATACTACCCCTCCTCCACACTCTCGGATCTCAGTTCTTGACCTTGCACATCACACCTCTATGCCACGTGCCCCATCTCGATGGCTAAAGTCCTGTACTACTAAAGGATCTCCCGATTTACAGAGTTCCTCGCGTACAAACTCAATTCCTCACGATAGAAGTCACAGCCAACATTATTTCCTCCTAGCATACCTAGCCTGCACCAGGTGTGGATGCCTTACAGAAAGAGGGACAGACCACTGTGGCTAGCTGACAGACCAATGATCTTTGCTCGATGCGTCTAGCGATGCATACGCAAAGGCACCTGCTCCCACACCAGGTTACTCCATTTCCTGGATGGTTCGTCGATCCATGTTGGATGGATTTGCCATCCGATTCGCCGAGGAGTAATTCGTGTTCGTGCATGACATCGTCAAAGGCTGACAAGGTGTTGTAGATCTTCACAGGATTGAGTTGAGTGGGGTGGGGATCTGCGGGTCCTGTTCAGCTCCCCCCACCTCTAGGCACTGGATTGGACTGTGACAGGTCACGCAGCTGCATGTTTTCAGACTGTGCAGGACCCCTCTATTCAGCTTGTAGATCGCAGATGTGTGAGTAAACAAGGTGAGCTGGGTGTGACGATGTCTAGTTTAGCTGCGAGACTGACCCCTTCACTTTACCCCACTCGGTCATTCAAGGCCTACCCAGCTCGCCACTGTCTGATCGCCGGGAATCGTCCAGTTGATGTATTCTATTTGTTCATCTTGCAAGCCCTCCAAGAGATAATTACGGTCCTTCTATGTACTGCTTGGACGTCCCTGAGTTTTGCAGCCTGTTCCTAAAGGCGCCACACCCCGCACGCTCCCCGAACTACGAATCTATGCAAGGTTGCCTCCCGACGCCAATAATCTGCCATGCCGGCTGTACGTACTACGTAATTTATAAGCGAATGATCAATGCGGATGCTTGGCGAGGGTGATTGCGGCAAGATCTGACGATCTAACCTTTCAACCTCCGAGCAGTTTCCAACCTGCTGCGTTGTTGCCTGGTAAGCCTGCGGCGCTGGCGCGTCGCGCGCAGACATGGGAGGTTTCTATCTTTGGCCAAAAACAGCGATTTGAAACGCCTTCTTTTGGAGTAGTTAGTTTTGGTCAGACAGGGTGGTGTGGTCTGCTGCATAGAGCCCGATAATTGTCGTGTTGGAATCTACCCAAACCATGCATGCTTTTGCGACCCTATGTTTACTTGCTCTTCAGATTGTCTGGATTGCACCCTAGCCGGCTGTCTTCCGCATTGGGTCCAATCACGTACTCACGGTACGATATTCAGTCGTACCCTTTTTAACCCAACTACTGAGTATGGGGGCATCAAACCCTTGAAAATTGCCCTGTGGAAGAGTGCTCATAAGTATCGTAGCTGCAGAGCTCTCGGCGATGAACAGGTTTGCAATATTTGGGGCCTGCTAGTATACCCTTGCCGTCCCGCCGAGCATCTACCAGGCTCCATCTATCTCTTGATGACTACGAACCCCGGATTTCTCGTTCTCGAGGGCAATGCATGCTCTCCGGACTGTGCCGTACACTTAAATCAGACCTTGGAACAGTAGCGAAATGCGAATGCGCAGCAGGGGGCTCCAGGATTTTGCATTGAATAAAACAAAAAAAAAAAATAGAAAATCTTCTCGACTATGAATTGAGTCAGACGCGCTACTGGCCGCAGTGTATGGCCATCCGACTTCTCGAAATATGCACCTTTTCCCAACAGTTCGAACAGAAACAAGCCGGAAGACATATTATGCTTCATGTGTTTATGGGAGGTCTGCATTAGAAAGAATGCAGATCCTAGACGCCCATGGCTTTATGTTTGACTAGCGTGTCAGATAGATATATTGTGCAAGGCGCGACATGTTGCGGAGTTGAGAGGGGTAGATATCTCTAACTTGCAACTCTCACTTTCTCCGGCCGTGCAATTGGATTTTCTATACATATAAATGCAGACGCAGCCCTGCTGGATTGGCTTTATGTTCTCGGCTCTTGATGTGATTGATGTTCATAAAAACATTAATATATGACTTTACTCCCTTCCACTCACGGTCATTAAGCCACCTCCCGCCACGAGTTCACCCACTTCTTAAGGATTGGAGAGATTGTTTCCATATTGCCCATCCAAACAATCAATACCAACTGTGTAGCCCTAACTTCTGCCCCAACCATCATTCGGCCATCCGACTAAAGAATTATTCCCAGCAGTACCTCAGGAACACATACATTGTCCTCCGAGAATTGTCCGGGCTGCGCTCAACTGGGCAACATTGTTTGTTTGCAACGTTTGCACTGTGATCAGGTGATTTCGACCAACAGAAAATCAGTCCCTCGCGTCAGATGCCATCAGACTGAGGCCATTATCTCTTGCAGAAGAATAGATTACCTGGGTGTGCGTCAATGCAACCTCCCCTGCAGGTGTTCCACACTAGCTGCTGGAGACCCCGCCTCGCAATGGCGCGATACACCGGACTCCGGCCTCGCTCCGACGCGCCAAGATAACTGCCTGCTGCTGTCTCAGTTGCTCAATCAAGCGTCCAACATGGTAAGAAGTGAAGACGGACAGATTCTATAATTCCCGCAATGTCAAAGGTTTTCTAGATGTTGATGAAGAGAGTTTGTCTGCAATGCCCGTGAAGGATGACAGAACCGAGCCGAGGAAGCCACATTGTCGAAGAGAATCCTTCACTGATAAGCAAGCGGAAAGGAAGCTTAGATCCGGCTTGGCACTCGGCAAGGAGATGACGAATCTGCAGAACGAGAGTCGGATTGGGCTGGTTCCTGCATCACACCTCATTTACGGTGCACGCCATCCCCGGCGTTGCACCGCTCCCCGTCGGAGCAATCAATCCACCCGCAATGGCCTCATCACTACGCTAAAAAGATTTATAATAGGCGGCCACGTCGCTGCCTGTCTGCTCCTCGCTCTTCTCCCCAAGTGTCTCTTTCTCCGTCGCTGGATCTCCCCTCATCATGGTCGCCTTCTCGCGCATCTCTACCGGCCTGTTGGCCGTGGCCGCCCCTGCTTTGGGCAACGTGGTGCTGGAGAAGATCCAGGCCGTGCCCAGCAGCTGGTCGCTTGTCGAGGAAGCCGACACCAGCTCGAACATCACTCTTTCCGTGGCCTTGACGCGTCAGAACCTGGACCAACTTGAGTCCAAGCTGCTGTCCGTCTCCACCCCGGGCCAAAGCACCTACGGCCAGTACCTCGACGCGGACGAAGTCAACGCCCAGTTCCCTCTGGCCGATCACTCAACGGTCATCTCCTGGCTCACCGAGGCCGGCGTCACCGACATCTCCCACCAGGGCGGGTTGATCAGCTTTGCCACCACCGTCGGCACGGCCAACAAGCTGCTCAACACCACCTTCTCGGTCTACGAGAAGGCCGGCACCCAGAAGGTGCGCACCACCCAATACTCGGTGCCCGACAGCTTGAGCGGGTCGATCGACCTGATCGCGCCCACCGTCTTCTTCGGCAAGACGCGCGCCGAGCGCGCCGCCGCCTTCCAGGCCGTCAAGGTGGCCCGACGGTCCAGCAGCGCCAGCCAGTACATCACCCCGACCTTGCTGAAGCAGCAGTACAACATCGACTACACCCCCAAGGCTTCGTCCGGCAGCCGCATCGGTTTCGGAAGTTTCTTGGGCGAGTCCGCCCTGTACTCCGACCTCGACCTGTTCACCGAGCGCTTCGGCATCCCGCAGCAGAACTTCACCGTGGAGCTGATCAACGGTGGCGTCAACAACCAAGAGGAGGACGGGGGTGAGGCCGATCTGGATGTGCAGAACATTGTGGGCCTCTCGCATCCCCTGCCGGTGGTTGAGTTCATCACTGCTGGATCTCCGTATGCAATCTCAAAGTCGATCGAGGTTGGAAGTGGTTGCTAACGAGACGACAGTCCCTTCATTCCTAACGTGGTGGAGACCACGGATACCAACGAGCCCTACGTGGAGTACTATGAGTACCTGCTGAACAAGACCAACGACGAGCTGCCGCAGGTCATCACCAACTCCTACGGTGACGATGAGGATGTACGTTCGACCACCCTGACTTACATGCTCCGGCTGACCCTATAGACTGTTCCGTATGCCTACGCCACGCGCGTCTGCAACCTCATCGGGCTGATCGGCCTGCGCGGTATTTCGGTTTTGGAGTCCTCTGGTGATTCGGGTGAGTTGTCTGCGTTCAGCCGTGCAAGCCACCGACTAATATGGTCCAGGTGTTGGTGAGGCCTGTCTCTCGAACGACGGAACCGACACCGTTCAATTCACCCCCGAGTTCCCCGGCACATGCCCCTACATCACTGCCGTGGGTGGTACCCAGGACATCCCCGAGATCGCCTGGGTGGACAGCAGCGGCGGCTTTAGCAACTACTTCGCTCGTCCGTCCTACCAAGCTGACCAGGTCGAGACCTACCTGGACAAACACATCTCCAAGGCGGTTAAGGAGTACTACACTCCGTATGTCAACTTCACCGGGCGCGCATTCCCGGACATTGCCGCCTATGGTGGTTCGCCGTAGTAAGTTCCTCTCCGTGGCTTCTTGATATGCCGAAATAACTCTGACGGGTAAATTAGCTATGAAACCTATGTGAACGGGGAACTGGAGCTCATCGGCGGTACTTCGGGCGCCAGTCCCGTTGTTGCTGCCATCATCGCGCTGCTCAACGACGCTCGTCTGCGCGCGGGGAAGACGTCCCTGGGCTTCCTAAACCCCTGGTTGTACTCTAGTGGATACAAGAGCTTGAATGACATTACCTCGGGTACGGCGGGTGGATGTGATGGCAGCTCGGCCGGGACGGGCTACATCCCGTGGGCCAGCTGGAATGCCACTGCGGGCTGGGATCCGGCCACCGGTTTGGGAACTCCTAACTTCGCCAAGCTCAAGGCGGCCGTGTTGGCTTTGTAAGGATTTGTGCATGATTATGTATTTACTAAGTGATCACGTCGCTTGGCGGCAGTTTATGTTTGAGACAAGTGATGGTCAATGCGAGAAACGTTCCTCAATTTTCTATTTCAGTGGAGATGTTAGTCAGTGCGACCGGAAGGACAATTGACCACGAACCAGCAATGACAGGCAATGTCTTAGTGGCAGAGCAGCGTTTAATTGCAGTGTCGAGCTGTCAGGGTCGAGACTGAGACCCTTTGGATTAAGGTGAAACGGAGAGCCAGCGTGCGGGTGTTTCAGCACACGCCCGTCAATCTAACCCCGACACCCGCTCCACTTTCCATCCTCCCCACCAAACAGGTCTGTCAACATAAAACGACTCCTCAGCCCACAACTCATTCTCCAAACCAACTGTGCCGGTCACACCTTCCATTCTCTTACTTTTCTTCGTCACTCCTTCGTCCTTCGCTCACTATGAAGTCTTTCGTTTCCCTTCTCGCTTTCCCCGCTTCCTCGCTGGCTGGAACCGTGTTGTGGAGCGGCATTTTCAACTCTTCTGCTACCGTCGAGGACTTCGATGATTGTAATTCGACCCTTTCCCCGGTCGCGATGGGCCTCGAGCTGACAAGATAGGGTCATGGTCCAACCAGATTGAACCGTGGCAATGGTACATCCATGGCACCGGCAACACGTCGGATTACCTGGGTCTGTCCACGGACTTCAAGAACCCCGCCGATACCAGTGACGCCCAGGGGCTGCGCATCAGCATTGTATGCCAATTCCCATTTGACGACGGCATTGCGCGAGCTAACATATCCATTCCGATAGGACGGCACCTCTTACTGGGAAGGTCAAACGATGGAGCGCTCCGAACTGATCCCCCAGACCAAGGCCGACCTCGGCTCCGGTCACCTCTACTACCACTTCTCCCTGTCGACCAAGACGACCAACGCGCCCGACGCCTCCTTCGAGCACCAGATCGCCTTCTTTGAGAGCCACTTCACCGAGCTGCAGTACGGTCTGGCCTCGGGGGCATCCGGGTCTTCCGACAACACGCTCCGCTGGAACGCCGGCGGCAACACCCACTGGTCTGTGCAGCTGGAGGCCGGCAACTGGTACAACTTTGCGTATGATATCGACTTCGACGCGCAGACGGTGGGTCTGTGGGCGTCCAACGGCTCCGACCCCTTGACCGAGGTTGTGTCGCCCGTCAGCGCGTCCGCCTCGTCCAACTCGGCCGACTGGCACGTCGGCGAGCTGCGTCTGCCTGGCAGCGGAAGCTCGAACGATGCGGCGGAGGATTGGTTCTGGTCTGGTGTTTATGTTGAGGAGGCGCCGATCACGAAGGAGATTGGGTCGGGTAGCGCGTCGAGCTCGAGCTCGAGCTCCAGCTCTGCGGACACATCTAGCTCTGTCAGCTCTGCCAGCTTGTCGACCTCTTCCGCTCCCAAGTCCACCGCCGAGGCTACCTCAAGCACCACCGTCGCCGCTGCTACTACCAGCACTGCTGCTGCGCTCATGACCTCGACTGTTGCTCCCTCAGTGACCACGGAAGTCGCAGTCGAGGCTGCGACGACGGCCACGGCTGCCTCAGTGGCGCTGGCTTCGCCCACCACCCCGACTGAGATTTTGGACGACATTCGCGCTATTTTCGGTGCTCTTGTCTCGCGGTCCAGTGGTGTGCATGCTCGGGACTTTTCTCCTCGTGCGTAGGTCTGTTGATGCCTTAGTTCTTGTTGGGTGGCGGTTGGACTGTGTCAAGGATTTTGAAGCCCCAGGGTGGATTGCTGGAAAGTATCCTTGGTTTTCTTGGTGGTTGTAACTTACTGAATTATCAACACATAAAGCAGCCTGGTAACCGCGTTGCATCACGTGGCCGGATTACGCAGGAACGCCGACAAACCGAGACACAGGGACTGGGTGTGTTGCTGGTGCCTATAACTTGGATCATTAACTCGTTAGTCAATACAGTGTATTATCTTGTGATTTGTGACTTTTCGAATTGCTGGAAAATATGTGTATACCGCGTTCGACGAAATATCCGCCCCATGCAACCATTGCCATCTCCAGGCTCACTTGCAGGTATCTTGCGGTGGTAACTTCCTGGATGTGAAAGAGTAAAGACGATGTCAAAGACGAGAGCCAACGAGTCATCCTAGATCTTATGCGAGGGAAGAGAACCTGATCAAGGGGTAAAGAAGTTCCTGCGTTGTTCATGTGATAGCTACTAGGTAGCCTGTTTTCTTGAGATGGACGGGATTCGACCGTAGCGTGATGTCTTGGCCTGAAGGGTAAGGCAACAGAGTCAGCTGAGCCTGGAGGGCAAGACGGCAGCAGCCGCCCAAACCGGGAAAACACGTGGGAGGTGCAAACAAAACAAACGTTGTGGATGGCCGCCTCACATTCCCCCTCTCGTGTTGCGTACAGCATATATAGTATTAGAGAAGTACGGCATATCGTCCTCCGCGAGAGAGAACTGGGATACCTCTGTCCAACCTGCGAGAGGCTCTGACAAGCCGATCTCACTCCTGGTGCACTCTACTTTTGTCCGTTCTGCGGGCAACATCGTTCGGATTGGGATTTGTAGGTTTATGGTCATAAAACTACTTCTTACTTATCCGTCAGTTGATAGCTCTTATGCGCAGTCTTCATCTGACGTTTGCATATGCCTTAGCCCTTTGAATTGACTTCCTTTACCAAAGAATCCAAGGTCTACCATTCTTGGCCTCTTTTTCCTTTCTCAAAGAGCTCATTGGGGCCTCACTTGACCCACACTGTCAGTTGACCTTGTCGGTAGTGTTACAGATGAGCGAGATACGGATCGATGATGATACAGGCAGTGGGCTTACCTCCAAATCGTGCAGCAAGTTGGGACAAGATAAGATCACTTCAGCTTCTGTGAACCATCTGATACCACGGTTCAACCTTTCACCAAGCCAAAGACCAACGTTTCTCCTTGGTGAGCATCCTCTTATATCCACCAAGTATGTGTACGAAGGTCAAGGTGATCGAGTAGGCGCAAGAAAAGAAAAGGCGGACCGATCACTTGAATACATCGTCATGAATAGCGCGCCTATTTCGGTCCCAAATAACTACCAGGATGGAGTTAGCCATGGCTCGTTTGTATGACAGCGCTATACCACGCACAACAGAACTGACACACTTACGTTCAATCTCGTCTTTGACGGTGCTGACAGCAATGCGTCCACTCCTGATCATTTCCTCTGCCTCTGTTATATGTCCCAGAATCCCTCTAGGATATGGGTACGCTTGACGGTACGATTTGAGCACATGCATTCTTGCTTCTGCCGCTCTGTTGAGCAAGGGGGCTGGTTAACACAGACAAGGACACAAAGATCAGAAACCGTGGAGTCGGAAAATACCTCAACGCCGCCTCCGCACAATCTACGGCCGCCAGGGCGCGGCGCAAATGATCCTCTGGATCGGTGTAGCTGGCCGGGTCCGACTGCGCGCGTTGATACATGACTCTCTTGCGCTTGAACTCGTCATGTAGGTGTTTTTATGCTGCACGAGCAGCCTTTATAGCCGGTGACCATGGAGGAAAAACGTATTCCGCGGGATTTATGCTCGCCAGCCAGGTCTTCAAGGCATCAATCTCCAGCTCTCCGTTCATAAGATCCTTATCGAGCTCATTCGCAATCTCTTCCACCGGCGTAAGCTCGTGTACGACCCATTTAAAGACGGCCTCGCCCTTGACTGGGCCCTTGTCTGCGCGCATCGCTTGAAAGTACAAGGTATTTCGTAATAACGAGGAGATTCCGAGCCGCAGTCGTCAAACTGGGTCGAATGCTCTCAAAGCGTAGTTAGAGACATGTGTAGAGGAGGATGATCTTGCTCGGTCTTGCATTTGGTGTATCGATCCAATTTCAGGCACCATCGTGATTTTCCAGTTTTCTGCTATATTCACTAAATGCAAAAGGTCCAGGGTGACAGTCTAGAAACACATTCACACCTTCACGCAGCGCGGATTAGAGTTCTTCCTGGTAAGCTCTTCCCTCTTCACTATCCCCTCTTTCCCACTTCTCTACTCTCTTATCCTTCTCTCTTCTCTCACTCTTCTGCCTTCCTCATCCTTGTCCCTTTCATATTGCTTCTCCTTCTCATTTTCTCATCAAGTCCTACAAGCCAACATCAGATTACTCTCTTGCCTGTTGATTATTTCACTCTCTCTCCTTGGGAATGTCGTGGCCTAGGCCTCGCGTCTCTCGATGGCGGCGCTGGGTTGATGGCAGCAAAAGCAAGATCAAAAAGATCTGGGTTAAGCTTAAAGTCTGTACAAGAGTCACCCCGGAAGAACCTGCCGTCGCGCGCTTGCATGTCATCAAGACCATTTCGCTGTCGTCTTCGTCTTCCTTAGAGACCGTGCCTGCCCAGCCGCCAGTATCCTCCGCAACGTCCTTGTCAAAACCCATAATTCCGCGGAGCCAGCTCTCCATTGAAACTTTTCCTGTCGAAATTCAGACTCTCATTCTCTCCTGTCTATCTTACGAAGACTTGACCTCCTTGACAATGGCATCGCCTGTACACTACCGAGTGCTGCAAAGTGGCAAGAAAGTGCTATGGAATTTAGTGACCGACTCCTTGCGAGGCTTGATACCAGAGGCTCAAGCTGTGTACTGCTCTGGTCTTGTCAAGTCCGCCAAAGCACGCACCAGGGAGAATATCGCGGAGATGGTCGAAGAGTACAGACTCGGTCGCCTGCGATCCCAAGAGCCGCCGCCCAGAACCACAAAATCCACATTTAATGAGCTCTCCCGCATCCTTCGTTTTCACTACACGGTCATACTACCTCTTGTCCCGCGCTTCACCACTTGGATGCAGGCAAACCTTCCCGGAGAGGCAAAGCTCGGACTCATACAGCTAGGATCACCAATGCAACCCAAGATAAGCTCTACTGAGGAGAGTCGGATCATTCGCGCGCTCTATCGGTTCCAGCTTTGTTGTTATCTATTTGGCAACCCACGTGATGATTCTCCCTGGGGTAAAGAATCGTATCATCCTGGGTACGTGGACATCCTGCAGCACCTCGAGGCTATGTTCCACGCTTGGGAGATCGAGGAGATTCTTTGCGTTCACACTTTCGTCGAGGATATATATCCCGACATCTTTGACGTGGTCCGAGTGGGCCTTGACCCGTTCGAATATGAATCGGATGATAAAGGCAAGTCTTGCTTAGTGATAACCTCAAAACTACGAGTCTTTCCTCCTGTTGCTAACGCCAAGTTGATACAATCCAGAACTGATGACATGTTGCTACCTCGAGGGTACCACTGCACAGGGGCTCTGGCTACTGCAGAGGGCCCTGTGCCAGATGGAAGACACGGAACATCCTGCGCAGCTGGTCGAGATAATGCGAGAAAGACTGACGCCGGAATCAGGCTTTATTGGACCACGAGAAGTGACTTCCCATATTTGGTTCTGGAACCGACTGAACGAGTACGGTCTCACCGAAAAGGACTTAAGATCGCAAGCTCACGAGGCCTTTCCGTTTCGGGGCGATCATGTCCCAGACCCGAAGGGAGAGTTTCCTCCTCGAGCGTGGACCCTGATGTGGCGCGATACTTACAGTAACCTGTATGGGGAGTGGATTCCCGGGGCGCTGCGGAGCTGGGGATACGTTTTCTGGGACGCGGGGCGAATGGAGACAGAAGCAAAAGAGGTACTGCTATGGCGCTGGGAAAGATCCTTCGATGAAGACTGGGATCCGCGGGATGAGTATGACCTTGCTGATGTCAGGGCCATCCGATGATCAACACCGTATGTATTCTGCATGCTACTACACTTGGGGCAAGGAAGTGCACATGGCACTGCACGATGAACAATGTATTTACTGATCTATCAAAAGAATATCACTATTTCGTATGATGCTACTGTGTCCGACTGAACTATCCTTACCAACCAGCAGTGCACTTACAAACGTACGAATCGCGATGCACATCAGAAACTTAAAAAAACGAACCACGTAGCGAAGAGTGACATCAGCAAGACATGCTCTCGATTTGACATTTACTCTCCGCTTCAATTCATTAATAACATCTTTAACAATGAACCAACTTCCTCCACGTAGAACAGTTCTAGGAGGTACTTCAAGTTAGACTTAAATCGCGCCCGAGATGAAGTATACTGAAAGGAAACCCAAGTAATAACCATCCTCCACGTACTTGCCAATATTCTCACCATGCTGGCACTCACGCAGAGGAAGCCGTAGCCGTAGCAACAGCACTCGAAGAAGCGAAATCACCAAAACCCCCCATGCCAGCCATATTCATCACGAAATCATCGTTGACCTCGCCCCCCTCCTCGGTCCAGAACCCCTCCGGAGAAAGCGAGTCATCGCGTGTGCCATCCACCCCGATCGAGATCCACGCGAAGATGCCATCCGAAACACTATCCCCCAGCAGAACATACTCCATGAGCGGATCGGTGTCATCCACCTCCGTTTTCAGAATGATATCGTCCGCGTTCAGAGTCAGATCCTGCGTGTTGGAGCTGTAGGGCGTCGTCTTCTCGACCTCGGTGATGAGGGCCTGGTCGAAGTAGATCTGGCCCACGTGGGAGGAGTGGCCATCGTACATGCCGGCGATGGTGCCGTTGGGGAGGATCTTGGTTTCGTTGGCCGGGTGCGTTGCCACTATCCCACCATTGAGTCAGAACTATGCATGATTGAGATGGAAAGAAAAACTTGGGTTGGAAAGGACTGGGTGGGCAAGGCGCGTACCGTGGATATGCACCGCGCGGCCGGTGTAATGTCCCGGGAAGATGGACTCGAAGCGCACGACGCCGTCGGGGCCGCTGGGCTGCACGCCGCGCAGGAAAGTCGTGTCGATGTTGCTCGAGTCGTTCTGGTTGCCGTTGCCGCTTGCCACGACTCCGGAGTATACTCCCTGTAGATTGTAAAGGAAGAGATTAGTGGTGGTAGCTCACTCCCTAAAAAAGAGGGCGGATGCTTACGGTCGCGTTGCAGTGCCAGATGTCGGTGTAGATGTTCCGCAGCGGCTCGCAGGTGTTGGTGTCGATGAGCTGGATGTCCAGGAACAGGGGCACGCCCTCCTGGTCCTCGGCCACGTTGCGGCGGATGAGTTCTCCAGCGATATCTAGGGGTAGATACCAGTGTTAGAATGTAGAAGGTGGTTGAACAGCATAATGTGGCAGACGTACAGTACGGCCCCTGGGTGACCTCCGGCTGCACGATGCAGGTGCCTCCCGACGCGAAGAGGATGCAGGGATCGGTTGACGGGTCAACATGAGTCAGGTTTGCATGATGATCTGTACCCAGAACGGAGTCCAGATCGCGAGCTTTGAGGTATTGGTTGTCTGCCCTGTTAGTTAAGGTTTATTGCACATTCGAGGAAACATACTGGACAAGCCCCTCTTCCTGCGCAAGTGCTCGAGGGCATTCCCGCGACGAGCAACATTGGCATCCTCAATCTCGCGAGCTTTCAGGCTGGATGCGCAGTGAGACAAGCTGCGCGAATGCACGGGGGCCCGTTTGAGGAAGGCGGCGCGTTCGGCGGCCTCCTCTTGGACACTGTGGCCTGGATGACCCGATCCCAGAGAGGCCAGCAGGACCACACTGGTGGTCAGGTACGAGGTCAGATGAACCATGTTGAAGAATGAGGGGGAAGCTGTTGATGAAGCAAGTCGCTGTGGCACTGGAGAGGAGGAATTTTGAGCTGTTGATGGACGAGGAATTGGAGCAGGAAGACAAGGGGCTTTTATACCGTGGCTAGAAGATTACCCTCTCACATACCCCCTCGATATAGTGACTAGAGCATATTCCGTGTTTGCAATCTCATCAACATCCTGGCATCAACGCCGACTCATCCCCACCCGCTGCATTGTTGTTCTCCCATGGACAAGGTGTTTTCTTCCGCTTAGTCAAACAGATAGTCAACTAGTGCTTCAAAATCTTGGAGCTAGATATTGAGTACATGCGTACCTGATGCTTTCATGTGTTCGAGAAATCAAAGTGGAGAGCTGCTGGGCCGAGCTGCTGGGTATAAGATAGCGCGGGCATAGGCATCAACGGTGTGCCTCATACAAAACGAGCTCGCCAAAATAAGCCAAGCGGGAGCCAAGAAGACCGCCGGGAACGATCTGCATGCGTGACGAAGTCTCTTGTGTCAGAAGAACTCGGTTGGCTGAGAAGAGACGGAGAATTATCTAGAATACAGTTTCAAGGTATAGGTAGTTGATGAGTCTGTGTGTAGATGGCTGAGTCAGCGGGATCTACAATTTCCATCTCCAACCCTTAGGACCAATCAGAGAGCGGAGATTTCACATGGCGGGGAGACCCTCAAATTGCTAAAATTGCGTTCAGGGACCCGAGCAGGAAGTCAGGGACAGATCCACTTTTCGCCTCAGGCAGCGCTTAAAGCAAAAAAATTCACTAGTACTGAGTATGAGTAGAAGGCACAGAGCTTACGTCACTTGCCCCGGAATAATTCCGGGTCCGGGAGTCCCTGAATTTTGAGCAGGCAACAGCCACTTCGAGCGCGTGCTGCGTGCCTTCCATCGGAGCCATATAGGCAAAGTAGAGAGAGAACTCGGCCAACTCCCATCCAGCGAGACAGTCCAGTGGCACTTGTCCATCCATGTCCGACTCAGCGATCGCTCCTCGGGCAGGCCGGGCGCGTACTGCTTGTGATTTGTGCAGGTCTCGGAGGGTAAGCCTTCCGATCTCCGACCTTCCGATGCATGACTGAACACTGAACGCCAGATCCGCTGTGACCGAGTCAAACCTGCATGTGAGACATGCCATTTTGCCGGTGTGCCTTGCATCTTTACACCGCCACCGGACGTGCCGCGCAAGACAGTCCGAGAGTAAGTTCTCCCCCCTACTTGTGCTGTGTTGTACTTGTAAAGGGTAGGTTGCGTTGACAGTGGTTGTGAGCTCGCAACAGACAACTAGCCGAGTGCAAAGTCCAAGTGCAGGAGTTGGAAGAAGCACTGCGAGTGGAGCGAGCCAAAAACCATACCAAGAAGAATGCCCCCAGCCCATTTGTTCTTCAAGGGGGATTGGCGGATTTGCACGGCTTCGACGCGGCTCTAACCGCTTTCCTGCGGACTCTCGACTTCTGTGGCTTCGGCCCTAAGTCGACCCCATTTCTCTTCCCCACCGACCAGCATCGCATGCCCTCTCTCGTCGACCTGGATCGCTTTGCTCAGGATGTGGCCTCTTCATTTAAGTCGGAGTTCCCCCACCATACCTCCAGGACCATTCATCCGCAGCAACCCCCACCCGCGTTGATCTGCACCGTCATCGACTACTTCCTAACCAACAGCCTCTACTCGGTTTTTCCCGTGATCGACTCGGTTACCTTGGTGTCACTCCGGAACTCCGATCTCTCTCCCTCCTCACCAGATCTAGCTCATCTTCCTAAAAGTGTCCAAGCCTGTTTGGTGGCCTTGACAGCCCTGGTCACTCACTTGCGGGATGATGAGCCCGCTTTCGGTGAAGTCGACTCCGAAGCCTTCCTGCAATCCGTGCTCGCGCAGTTGCCGGAGCTGGTCATGTCAGGGGATAATGACCTCTGGACTCTACAAGCCCTGATCCTGGTGGTGAGCAGTTGGCCGCCTCAATCTCTTCCCAATACATCTTCTGACGTCCCCAGGTACTGTACCTGGCCCCCCTCGGTGCACCTCAGTCCGCTGAATTGATCCTGGCCATGGCAATCCGGCTCCTCACCAATCTCGGTGGCAATTTCGCCCCTATGCCCTCTGGTTCTCGCGTTGATGCCCATCACGGTCGGCATCTTCGGGCTCTCTTCTGGCTCTGCTATTCCGTGGACAGGGAAATGTCGATCCGAAATTCACATTCACCCTTACTGCATGATACCGACTGTGACCTCGACCTGCCAGAGAAATACGTCATGGCTTCGTCCGAGAACCAGTTCTGCCTGGGCCCCTTGTCGAAGGACGAGTTACTCTATCCGTCCGACCTTCGCATGTGCGTCATCAAGTCCAAGATCTACCGGCTGCTGTATTCAGACTACGGCCTGGCGCAGCCCGCTTCCATCCGCGTGCAGTATGTCCGCGAGCTGGACGAGGAGCTCAGTAATTTGAGAGCGCAATTTCCCGCCGACTGCCGCCCGGAGAACCTGTCCCCGGGGGGTATCCCGGACTCTTTGGTTCTCGACCTCAGTCTGCGGGGAATCAACATGCATCTGGAATACTACTATTGTCTCGCCAAGATCCATGGCGCGTGTCGCATCGCTGGCGGAGAATTCCCCTCGCTGGACGACCTGTCGCCCCTGTCTTCAAGTCGGGAGCTGTGTTATCAGGCTGCGCGATCGATCTTGCTCTACATTCATCGTTTACACCATCTCGTTATCCCCCAAACTTTCTGGTATGCATCTGCTCTCGTTCCTCTAACTGTTATATTGACTGGTGTTCTGTGTCTAGGATCTATGCGCAGTTCATCCTCTCTGCGGTCGTCTCTCTGGGTTGGAAGCTCGTCGCCGAACCCAACCACCCGTCCGCCGCCAGCGACCTCCATCTCATCCAGCACACGAGGGGCGTGTTTACTAAGCTGAAGGAAACGACAGATCCCAGCGAGTTTCCGCCTTTTTACATAATGGACAACTTCATCCAACGGTTAATCGCCGCTGTAGCTCATTGAGGCTCGCCACCGACACCGCAGGCATTCAACCATCCATGAGCGATGCGCCGTACCGCTTTGGCTGCATCCATGCACATCCCGCTTTCATGGCTCCGCAGATCCAAGCCCCAGCCGCGAGCTGAGCATGCTTGCTTGAGGTATTAACATCACAGCGTGAAGATGACTCGAGTCAGTATTTTGGTTGTGCTACATCTACCCCGCCAAGCAATGCACCTTCGGTCCGACCACCTATGAGCTGAGCTCTATCTTATCGAGTCAAGACCGTGCTCCGCGTTGCTACGACAAACGCTGCTAGCTGCGCGATGTGGAAGATGCTCCATCCTGCACACCTTTGACTTTACTGCGCGAATGAGGGGCCAAGAGACCCTAATCACGCCCATTTGTTCGACTTGAAGCGAGTCTTATCCGCATAAAATTCTCGTTCGCTTTGAAATAAGGTCCATGCGCATCTGGTAATAAGGGTGTGACTAATCCGGCCGAATGGGGGGGGGGTCAGTTTAAGCTATGTCATCATACTGGAGCAAGATGGTTGCACAGCGGGGTCCAGACTATCAACTCGTGTATCCAGCCTAGACGGGACAGGTTGGACGCTCCACCGTCAGCACTAAGCTTCCGACCGGCATCAATTCATCATTCCCTTTCGCCATTGCGTGTGCCCTCCAATCATCTCATCAGGTTGGCCAATTCCTACCGGTAATGGAACCAAGCACGAGGGGAAGACCCGCCCTTGATTGATCCTAGGGCTCAGCGCAATGCAATCCCGAGAATGGTCCGTGCATCCGGCAGAATTTCGGTACTTGGGGGTGTAACCAAGGCGGTCTACAGGCATTCGGCGTTCAATCATACATGAATTCTAGACAGTCAATAGATTTATTTGATCATCATTTTTGCGTTCTATCTCAAGCATGGTGTTCTTGTGCAATCTGTCTGGCGTTAAAACTAAATCTGGTGTGGTCGATCTGCTGTTCTGCACCCCTTGTGCGGGAAATTAATCCTGATTGCTTGTCGTAGAACACGGACCATCCCACATTCACAGCCCCATCTGGATACTCGTAAATACGCTACTCTGTATAGTGAAGCTGCTTAGAGATAAGACCAGTCACAGGAATTTAATCTCCGCCTTCCCATGCCGAACTACTGCTGATACCAAGTATGGTGAGTTGATGCCTGAGGCAACAACACAGCACTTGAGAATCTCTCAGGGAAGCAGGCTATGGTTCGGATCATGAATCAGGATGCTTTCCCACGGACTGAGAGTTACGCGGTGGCAATGGGACGGGCGAGGAGACGACATGCAGGACGGACGTCGGGGTTAGCCATTAGCCACCTGGAGCAGACCATCCATGCACACGATGGCGCAATCCCTTGGGTCGCTAGTAACCGTGCAGAACATCGATTTTCCACCATGTCGCGCTCTCAATCTTTGCACAAGCAAACAATCTATTGGAAAGAGATGACGGTTGTTTGTTCAGCGAAATAGAGGCAATTCCTCTGGAGTAATAATCTTATTCGGGAGGTGGTACGTGCCGAACGTGCGCCACGGAAATGTGCGACAGGGGACGAGGTATAAAGCGTGGGGCTAGGAGCAATACAGATCAAGAGATAAGCTGATGGCGTCATGACCACGATCAATGAGACCATGCCTTGCCGGTTTGGGTACATATACGCTGCTGCTGTCATATCTCAACATGCGATCTCAACGGCAAGCAGACATCCGCAACCATGGGGTACGAGAAAGAAGATTCCAGCCGGTCTGAGAGCCCCCATGAGGAGTCCGGAGTGAGCCATGGCAGCGAGCCGCTCGAGGTCCGGCCTCTCCGCTCCTGGAAAGGGTACCTCTGGGACACCTGGGAGCTTCCCCGGGATCAACGATGGCTCTTGTTCAAGGTCGATGCCTTTGTCCTTACGTTCGCGTCGGTACGCGCTCGTCTCGTCATTCGGGCTGCGATGCGACTGGCTAACCGGCTTGGTAGATCGGCTACTTTTTGAAGAATCTGGACTTGAACAACATCAATAATGCCTATCTCAGTGGCATGGAGGAGGATATGAAGATGTACGGCAACCAGCTGGTGACCAGCACCTCGATCTATACCGTGGGATACGTCATCGGACAGATCCCTTCTAATTTGCTGCTGACCCGTGTCTCGCCCCGTTGGGTAATCCCTACTGTAAGTCCTTCTCGTGGTGCTGCCAAACCACCATGGCTGACTTCAGGCATTAGCTGGAGGTGGGCTGGGGAATTGCCACGATATGCACATCGACGGTCAAATCCTACCACGCGCTGTATGGTATTCGATTCCTAGTCGGACTGTTCGAGTAAGCATACCCCTTGCATACAGCTCCAATATGGTGCTGACTCGTGCTGAAGATCGGGCTTCTACCCCGGCATCCACTACCTCCTCGGATCGTGGTACACCCCGCAGGAGATCGGCAAACGCGCGATGATCTTCTGGCTGGCGGGTTCCATGGGGACATTGTTCAGTGGTTTTCTCCAGGCCGCCGCCTACACTAACCTCAACGGCGTGAACGGACTGGCCGGCTGGCGATGGCTGTTCATCATCGACGGCATCATCACCCTGCCGCTCGCGCTGGCGGGATACATCTTCTTCCCGAATCTGCCGCAAGACGGCCGGAAAACCTGGTGGATCACGCAGGAGGAGCACGTCCTCTCCGTCAAGCGCATGGATGCCGTGCATCGCGCGGGCAAGTCGCCCTGGACCAAGGCCAAGGTCAAGAGGATGTTCCTCAGCTGGCACATCTACCTTCTACGTACGGCGTGCACCCTGTCCAACTGAATTGGATGCTTGCTGACTGCTCCAGCTCTGCTCTACATCGTGTGGAACAACGGATACCCTCAGGCGGGAATGGGCTACTGGCTGAAAAGCTTCAACGCGGACCCCGCGCCTGTCCCGGGAACAAGCTACACTGTTCCGCAAATCAACGACTGTGCGTTGATTCGAGTGTTTGGACAAATGCCAGTGTGAACTAACCTAGTGCTATAGATCCGCTGCTCACGACCGGTCTGTTCATCATCGTGTCGCTGACTTGGGGCTGGCTGTCCGACGGACCGCTCCGAGGGGCTCGCTGGCCGTTCATCTACGCTGGCGCGGTCATTACGGTGAGCATTAGACCCTTTGAGATTATATTTACCTCAATGCGGCTAATGAGTCTTCTTTCGTGACGCAGATCGTCTTCTGCGCGCTTCTGCGACAGATGCCGCTCTATACGAATATCACAGGCCGGATGGCCGTGTACTGGCTCAGTAACATCGGGGTAGGTGCTTCAAGTCCAGTCTTGAAGAAGACCGTTCTAACACGATCACCACAGCTGGGCGCAGGACCTCTGATTCTCAGCTGGGCCAACGAGATCTGCACAGCCGATACCGAAGAGCGAGCGTTGGTGATTGTGCTCGCGAACGACCTCGCGTATGTGGTGCAGGCTGTTGTAAGTTCATGAACCGGAGTGTGGAACGTTCAGAAGCTGATGGTCGTATGCCCCAGGCACCGAACTTTGTGTGGAAGACCACCGACTTCCCCGCCGCGAAGAAAGGGTATCTGTGGTGCATTATTCTGCAGGTCTTGAGCAGTGAGTCAATCCGGCAGTATGTGGATGTATTAGATTCACGGGCTAACCAGATAACTCTGCGTACAGTTGGGGTGACGGGCGCCATTCAATGGTTGGTGGCACGAGATCAACAGGCGGCTGCCGCAACCGCTGAGGGGGGAGAGTACCCCGGATCTGGGGTCAGCGACGCTTCTCTAGGAGATGACAACAGTGGTGGTGTCGGTGGGATCGGAGAGACCAAAATCATCCCCAGCAAAATCACTCCGGTGTCGGAGTAGTGTGACTCGGGGCCTGTTGGCGGTTATCCGAGCCGAGCGAGCATCGGAGTGGAGCAACAGCCGGCACGACAGATGCAAACCGAGCTGAGGAGAGCGTAAAGAAAGATAGATTCAAGCTATCTAGACATCTATCTAACTACCAGCCGAAGACGGTAAGCTACTTAGCTAATAAAAAATTAGATATTTTATATATCTTTTTAGCTTGCTGTAAGACCCAAATATTTTAAAATTATTTAAACTATATAAAATTATTATAATAAAAAAAATAAATTATTTTTTTAGTATTAAAATACCGGAGTAATTATATAAAACAGGATCGATAACTGCCACCGGTAAAATAATCGCGGAAAATATAATTAATTTTTTATATAATAATATTATTAAAAAATATAAAATAATATAAATAATACTTAAATTACTTATTTAAGTAAGTATTTAAATAATATAAAGTCTACTGTAGAAAGCGGCTTAGTAAAACTATTTATAAAATTTTTTTTTATATTAATATACTAAAAATCTATTTTATTATTCTAATATATATTTTTTATATAAAATAATCTAATATTAATCTACTATATTAACTTTAGAACTATAAATATATATATAAGATTAACTATATTATTAAAATTTATATATATAACTATTTTTTATTAATAAATAGATCTAGTTTTATAGTAGATTTATGCAGAAAAGTAGTCTTATAGAATATTTTATAAAATATTATATACTTAGTTAATATAAATAAAGTTACTAAGACCGTCTATTTATATATAAATTATAATACCGGTGATTCTATATATATAATAATATAGATTTTTATAGATTTTATATTATTATTATTTATATATAAAATATTAATATAGATCTTAAATTATTTATTATAGTTACAGCTGTATATAATATTAAATATAGAATTTTTAAGATAATATAGAATATATTTAATAGTATTCTTATTAATTAACTGCAGAAAGACTACTTAATATTAAAGTTAGTATATAATATACTTAATATTAATATATATTCTTATTACTAACTAATTTAATTTTTTTAATATTTTTTTATATTAGTTTATATTAATAAAATTAAAGTTTTTATATAGTATATTTTAGTATCCGAAATCTATAAGAATTTTTTTTATATAATAATTAGTTATATTAT